ACAGTGATGTGGACAGAACTGTAGGAAGGGGGGAGGGAACACACTGTTGAGATTTTGATGTGAAAATGTATTAAATATTAATGTTATATAGTTAAATGCAAAATGGCTGATTTTACCTGAGTCATGTATAGATTGTATTTAGGTGTGGTATCAAGGATTAATACTTAATGTTGTACAGCTGTGTACATGATGAAACTTTGTGTAACAGAAAATTAAGTGATGTATTTTCTGATTGGTCACAGAACTGTACATAAGTCATGTGTAAAATGAATATCTTTATCTAGTGTAAGTCAAAGCACTTTTTCCTATGCTGTGTTTTGCTTCATGTCATGTTATGCTGCCAGAGAAATGTCTATTCTCTACGTATATATGTAAATAGACTAAGTTGTTGGTTTTACTCTCTCAGTGTGATAGTGTCATAAGTATCTCTGCTAACCAGTATCTCCTTACTCTGATTATGCTATGAGAATATACATTATAATCAAAATTATAATATACATTATAATCAAAATAATCAAGATGCTGGCCACAGAAACTGGCGAAACGTCGGGAAGAACAATCTTCAGAGGACTGGAGTAGGAACTCTGTCCATGCTTACAGAGCATGGATAGAGTTCCTACTCCAGTCCTCTGAAGATACCGGCCGCAGAGACTGGCAAAACATCAGGAAGAACGCATTTTCTGAACATGGCCAAAGAGCCCGAAAAACCCTCAACAACCATTAGATCCCGGCCGTGAAAGCCTTCGCGTATACAGCTATGAAATCATTTGCGTTCCTCTTCTGCTGAGGAACCAATCTCTGGACTTGAAAATATCAGAGGTGCAAAAAGTACACATGTAATATCCAACCCATTTCAGTTTATTTTTTATAGCAGGAAGATTATGTTTGAAAACAATGGATAAGAGCACTAAACTAAAATTGGGAAGACTCAGGTTCATACTCCTACTGAGCCATCAAACTGGCTCAGTGACTTTGGATTATTTTTCAGTCTGAACATGGTTGTTACAAAACGAAAAATGAGAAGTGTAGCAAACAACACTTGCTGCTTTCATCTCCCTAGAAGAAAGGACATAAAAATAAAAACAAATACATACAAATTAACAAGATAAGACATACATGCTATTCTAACTCAGAACTCTAGCCATTTTATAAATACCTACCAGCATATTTATTGGCTCAATTGTTTTACTCTAACTAGGCACTGAGACCTCTGGGTAGAGTGGGTGGCATATAAATTAATTTGTTTAATTAATTAAACAAACAAACAAACAAACAAACAAACAAACAAACAAACCATGGCCCACCCCTAAACATATAGAAACAAATGGTCAATGTTTTGCCTCATTCTCAAGCTTTCTTCAGCCAATCAACTTCTGCCCATCTCCTTAAAATAGACAGAGGGACTATATGAGGATTGCAAAATGTTTCACAACATACTTTATCTTTCATGAGTTGAAAAACATAGACCATCGAAGTATTAAAATGCTACAATTTATAAACAGCACCAAAAAACCCCAAAAAATCACTCAGAAGCAAGTTTACAACTGTCCAAATTATCTTGGTTCGCTACATAAATTGTGTAACTTGCCTTCATACAACTCAGTATACAACAGATAACATCTACAGTGATTTATTAACTTGAGGTAATTTGCTTCCAAAGTTTATGCCGTTTATCTTACAACAACATAACTAGGTAACAGGATTTGGGCTAACGTTACCTCTTAGCAGGTATGCTAAGCATTACATCCTGAAAATCAAGTACAGTTCAATTATCCACTAGTACTATTCATTAAACCCCAATTAACAATACTTGCTAGCAGTGTGTTCCCATAGTACAACTTAAATTTGTTTCAAAATGCCTATGTCATACCGATGAATAGTAAAAGATACTGGACCTCAACATGTAAAAAACAAACAAATGAACACTAGACAAAAGACAAAATGCAATTTCTAATGTGATTATATTTATACTGTGCAGAACTGAGTCTGCATATGTATGTACTTCTGCATGATTGATGAGTAGGATGCTTTCGCTCCTGCTTTTTCTTTCAGATGTCAGGGAACCGTGGTGCAGCTAAAAAAGCTTAGCAAGAATATTTAATTCCAGCTAGTCAAATCCACAAACTCTGACCGGCCTTGGTAGCCCCTACTAACCAAGTGTGAAGTATGTTCTGTCCACATTAATGTAACATATAACATTACTGCAGTATCATGGTGAGCTCTACTACTATAACATGAATCTTCAAAACAGATATCAGCTTAGGCAGATCAAGTACTGTACAATGATGTAACAACTTTGGCTTTATCCATGTTATCAAAGCATGAAATCATTCTTCAAAATTTCTGACCAAATTATTTCCATGACCTGACTTGTTTCCTTCCTAATTTTAATGGATGATGATGAACAATGAACCAACTGGCATATAACAGCAATGAAATACAGACTTTGCTATGAAAGATGTCTTCTTTGATTCCCAGTCCAAGGCATCTGGGCATGTGTTTGCAAACATGAAAAGGGGGGGGGGGGTTNTCCGTTGTAATCTAATTATCACTCCTGTTATCACTCTCTACATTCAGTATATTCATGCTGTAAGGAAACCAAAACAGGGCCAATAAGAAATAAGATGAAAGTATCCGCATGATCCGGGGAATGCTGCTGTTTCCAGATGGTATCCATATGGAACACTGATAACCTCTTTAAAAAGAACAAAAATGAAAACCCTATAAGAAGCAAGCATGCCCAGTTGATCCAAGAAATGCTGACTATCAGCTGGGGAAAACACATCAGAAAACAGGAATATCTTGCTTCTATCTCTTACAGATTAGAGTATTTTGCAGGAGGGCACAAAAGAATGCTGAACAGTAACACTTCTGTTAGGAGGTGACAATATATAGTACAACAATATTTTGCTGTAGAACCAATTTATAAGACTTCTTAACAAGACTGCAATTCTGTGCACACTGAAATAAGATGAGAAAGGGGGGAAGCTGTGTATCCTCTATACAGAATCAAAAAACAAGGCTGGAAAATATATTGCACTACTAACAAACTAATTATGGGAAGCTCTTAGTCCAGCAGATCCTTTCTTCAAGAATACCTGCTTTTCAGTGACTCATGCTTATCTGAATCTCACAGCAATGCTAAAAAAAACCTTCCTTTACATTTAAAGTTAAAATTACTGAACTAGAACACTAAGCTAAGACATGTCAAAGTAAAACACAACTATAAACTCTTTAATTTAGTGATTTATATGGCATACAACACTTTTCCCTGAAGCTTATTCATAACCATGTCTTGTTGCATTTTAGAAATCCAGTATGGTATAGTGGTTATGGCACTGGCCTAAAATAAGGGAAACCTGGGTTCAAATTCCCACTGCATTATGGAAGTCATCTGGTATGACCTTGGCTTCCCAGCAGCATTATTGGGAGAAAGGTGGTCTGTAAAAAAGACAAATACATAAAAAATAAATAAAAAGCCTAATAAAGAGAAGAATCACTTCAGCCCACAAAACCACCCCAAGTTTCTCTTTCTACAGACATATCAGAACTCGCTTTCCAATTACCTCATAAGTTAAGCCTATAGGACAGGAAGAAATGGTGACAGGATGCTCCAAGATGGCTGAACTGTGGTTTTTGTGGTGCAATACTTGCAGTACAAGCAATATGTTGCCATCTAATGAACAAGAAGGCTTTTAGTTTTTGTTACCTCCTGATATAACTTTCAGCTAACTTTAAGAAGCCCCAACTGTGAGACAACATCCCAGAGAACCACTGAGCAGTTCAGTCAGCATCACTCTTAAAGGATCTCCTGTTCATTCTCACTATTGATGGTTGTTACCAATGTATTCCTCTCTGAACCTATCTCAGTATGTTCTTCATAAACCCTACTCTAGATGCCACTACATTCTTAGGCAAAGTGGGTGGCAACAAAAAGAGGTTTTTCCTAGATTCCACCCATCTACCACTCTGCACACCTTTAAGACTTACTAAGTTGGCAAAATTAAAGGTGTAGAGGGAGGAAAAAAATACCGTCAAAAAAACTGTTCAAAGGCTTGCTGTAAAACAAAAGACCCCTTTGGGAAAATGTGGCTATTTCCTATTTATGTTCCACAACGCATTTTAATTGTTGTAAGCCGCCCAGAGACCTTTGGGTAGAGTAAGTTAAATAAGTAAATAAGCAGCATATAAGTTAAGCAGCATATAAGTTAAATAAATAAATAAATAAATAAATAAATAAATAAATAAATAAATAAATAAATAAATAAATAAATAAATAAATAATATTACTACATAGAGGAATTTGCTTTGTAACTGATGATTTTGCTTAAAGTGGTGGCATGTAAACTATTCTCATCAAAGTAAAAAAAAAAATCAGAAGCAGCTCGCAGCAGCTTCATGCAACGTTTCCTGTTAAGATTTTGTGATGTCTTATTTCCAGAGAACTTTCCCAGGGTCGGTGAACTGGTTTCTTCGTGCGGAAGTGACTCCGTGGTGCAACAGCCAAGAGACGGAGAGCGGCCGCCACGAGGCTCCACCAGCAACTCCACGAGCAACCCACCTGACGTGCAGCACCGCTCTCTCACATACACACGCGCCCGCACCTCTCCAGCAACCGGCCGCCGCCGCCGCCGCCGCCGTCCTCCTCTCTGGGCACTGGGCATAAACGGAAGCTTGCCTGTGCAAGCACGGGGGAGGCCAAAGTTCAGCAGCTGGAGGAGACCGGCAAGAATCCGCACGTACTAATTAACAGCGGGAGCAAGAAAGCCACCCCTCCCGTTGCAAGGCGGACCACGAGGGTTATTAGCTGGGGCACCCGACGCCCCCCCAGGCTTCCCTCAGCCTCCAGGCAAGCCGCTCTCTTGCCTTTGTGGAGCAGGACATTAAGGGTCACTGACAGCCAAGGCAGACGTTCACGTAGGTATCATAAACGGGGTATGCACACGTGTTCAGTGTACACGCATCTACCATATCATGTGCACGCATGGAAAGATACATACATTCCCCCTGTTGGGGTATGGAGGCAAGCCCCACCGCACGCTCTCCCCTCCGGCTTCAACTGCTGGAATGGGGGACTGTTGTGGTTCCCGGATGCTATCCCAGCAAGCCTTGCCCTGCCGCCAGGGGTAAGGCAGCGGCTTCAGTGACGTCTCCTGGAGGCGCCCCTCATGCCTCGGGCGCAGTTCCCTGAGACGGACGGCAATTCTTACCGGGGGGAGGAATAAGGGCGGGAAGGGGCAACGTCGCCCTGTTTTTCTCAGGTTTTTAAAGTGCCAACGCCTTGGACGGATATTTGCTAACGATGTTTGGTCAGCCTCTTTCTGAGGGTTTCCAAAAGTCAGAAAGCGGGGAGGGAAGGAAGGAGGGAAGAAAGAGAGCAACGCGTTGGGAAAGTGACGAAGGACGGATCTTTTCATCTTTTGATGATAGGAGGTTTAAATAACTTTTCAACTTGTGTACTGTATATTGCATGCAGATACGTTTCTTTCCCCCTCTCTCCCTTAGTCCAGCCAGGGTCCATGGATATCTTGGAGAGGGGGTTTCTTTAAGTACTGTAATCCTGTTTTTAAAAGGGAAACCAAACATTCACGGAAAACCAGAAAAAAGGAACTTCGTGGGAAATGAGAATCCATATCTACCCCTCTGATCGTTTCATTCGATGATCGCGTTTTACATTAAAACTTTGCCCACTCCTGTTTGAAAATAGTGATACTTTATCACTACCTCTAAGCAAATCAAAGTTAAGGCTGTAATCCTTCATAATCAGGAGTAAACTCACTGAAGTTTTTTTTAAAAGGCGACATATGATCATCCCTTCTTCCTCGACCCTGTGGATTCTTGCTTTTACACACGTTTCAGTGAAAACGTAGGTTTTTTTAAAAAAACAGGCTTTCCTGGCAGATATCCAACATATCACTGCCAATCAAAATATAGTCACTATGCGTATCACCATATATTTGGCGATAGAACTGCTAGATGTATTGCTAGATGCTCTCCGTGTTCAGGTAGAATTTTCAGACATCCAACTTTTTCTTCTGAAGTATTACAATAGAATCGTAGTGAAGGCAGAAATCATTCGTGTAATTATAAGCATTATAATTATCATTTTAAAAAATAAAATTCACCTATGTATGGGATTTTTTTTCATAAAACTTAATAGGTGACTTTGAACAGCTGTTGTCTACCCAAAGCATGTTCTGAAGGAAAAAGAGTGCATGGTTCAGTTTGTTCTTTGTATGTACTTCAACCTTTTAACTAAACTGGATTTTACTGCTTTTTATCTTGATACAGAAATTTGTGAAAACACTCTTTAAGCAAGCATAAATTCATTTTGACTTGTTTCTTTACTGAAGTTTATATATTCTTGACCTGCATGCAATGTTTAGCATGCATCCTACCCAGTTTTTTTAGAGAAAATTACTGAGATTATTTTGGAGATTAAACTTTTAATAGTTTTATAATTGGTTGTTGTGGGTTCTTCAGGCTCTTTGGCCGTGTTCTGAAGGTTGTTCTTGCTAACATTTCGCCAGTCTCTGTGGCTGGCATCTTCAGAGGACAGCACTCTGTGCTCTAGCCAGATTTTATTTTTTAAAATGATAAAGTTTTATAATTATACTGAGTAGAAAAATAATAGTTAAAAAAACCCTATACATAGGACTGCAATTTTCATTCATTTCTGAATTTACTGTTCTTGGCACTGTTAAACCAATTTCAGTTTCCTACATTTTGTAAAAAGTATGTTTTAATGGAGATCAATGCTACTATTCAATGAACATCATAGGGGGGATGTTATTGTGACTGTGAGTTCTATTAAACGTCTGCAAAGGTGCTTCAGAGTGAGCTTCTAGTAGGTGAGTAGGTTATCAGATTACATCTAGCAATGCTTATGGGAGTGGAAAAGGAATAGGATGGTCTCCATTTTGAAAACACAAGTCTAGTTGCCTCTTACCTTAAGCAAACTGCATAGGTTCCCAAGCCAGCATGGAAAAACTACAGAGACAACACTACTAAGAGTGAAGTTTTGGATTTCAAACTTCAGGTTTAAGAAGTCAGTTCATATGATATTGTGAGAATTACATTGTGGTAGGTGCAGTAAAACCTCTCTGCAATCCATCACCAGACAGTATGAAATGGTCATTTGAAGTTGATTCTTCCTTGAACAGCAGAAGGTGCTATGTTGCAAACATGTATAAAAACAAAGGTAGCAGTGTTGCTCCACAGGAAAATAAAATCAACATCTACAGGCTGTCAATATTTTTATTAAGATCAATTAAAGCTTTCCAAGGAACCTATACATTTTGCCTAAGGAAAGACAGAAGCCAGCCTAGTTCCTTTAGAAACTGAAAGCTACTGTTTCTTCTAAGCATTGCTGCTAACAGCACACTTACAAGTGACTCATACACCCAAAATCTCCATCTTGGGAGATTTTAACAGCAGAGGTCATGATCAAAGTACCTGGCCATTTTTAAACCTTGCTCATTCCCATTTTGAAAAACCACTTTGCTTGATTAAGTAAGAATCCTGCAAAACTCTTAATGTATTGCCTGCCTGTGGTTTTTGGTATTTTATATTCACTGGCCAATATGGCTGATTGTTTTCATATTAACTAAAGTTATAAACTTATTTCTGCCCCAAAATGCATGGAATTTGCATACTAAAACACCTATTTTAATTTCCTTGATGTGGAAACAGGAACTTAATTTTACAATCAGCATATGTTACAACATAATCTTCTATATGTTTTCATAGCTACTGAGCCACAAGCCTCTCATTCATTAAGTTACATAAGCTAGATCATATAACTCCCCGTTACGACAGTTCCACTGTTTGACAATCCATTTCCAATCACAATTCAGTAGTAGGTTTGACTTACAAAGCTGTATCTGACATGGATCCAAGCTATTTGAAAATGCCACATTTCCCTTTATGAGCCTGTCCAGGTTATTCAATCATCAGAGGAAGCCTTCTTCTCTGTCCTGCCACTGTCACAGATGCATTTGGTGAGGACACAAGGCGGCCTTTTCTGTCACTGCTCCCAAACTGTAGAACTCCCTCCCAGGAGAGATCAGGTCGCTGCCCACCTTGCTATCCTTCCTGCAGCAGGCAAACACTTTTTTCTTAGTAATTGACTGCCTAAGAGTTGAGATTCTTCTCCCCCCCTCTCCTTTTTGTATTTTTTTTTTTAAATATTGTAAGCTGCCTTGACTTCTCTTGGGAAGAAAGGCAGGATATAATTTTTTAAAATTAATTACATTATTTAAGAGAACACTGTTAAACAATTTGTAACCACTAACTTTGTACAGATTAGATGTTGCAAGTGGAAGAAATGTTTTAGACCAAATCTTGGACATGTACTGGCACAGACATAAACTGGATGCATGTAATTAAATGTGGAAAGTGTAATTAAAAAAAATTAAAAGAGGGCATTGGAGCCCAAGACATGAGAGAGCATTGATCATCAAACTACAAATTAACTGGGTTTTTTCCTTTAAGCTTTCCTTAAGCTAGAGGGAATCGCATGCTTGTGAACAAGGTTGGTAGAAGGGCAGTGCTGAGAAAAGTTCATAAGGTTCAGAGATACATTAGAAGAAAGTGTTTCATGGCCGTCCCCATTCGTTTTTCCTTTCAAATGCTTGTGTCCAGTCAAAATGACAAGAACTGATAACCAAACTTGTTTTCTCCTCCATGCATCACATTATTTTGTATCTTTTCAACTGTAAGCTAACATAGCCACTTGATTGTGGGATGCTTCTTTCAGCATATGCTCCATTATATAATTTAATCAGAGCCACCTTTGAATCACCATGTGATACTGTTATTTAATTTCAAAGTTGTGCATAATAATTTTTGCATCTCCCATTTTGTAGCTACAATCCAGTCACCTAAGGAGAGCCATATTTTGTTGATGCCTACTTTAGTCAGTAGTGTTCTAGATACCGCATTTCCATGAAAATATGACAGGGTACTCTTATCTTTAGGGGATGTTTTATTTTTTCCATGTACAACAATCTATATTTATCCAAATACAGTCATGGCATCTTCTTCTGGTGGCTGCACAATGGTGGAAGGCAGGTTTCACTTAACTGGGGCTTATTTTGGGGGTAGGGTTTACCGTATTTTTCCATGTATACAACCCCCCAATGTATGGGATGAGCTTCTAATTTTTACCCTTGCCGGAGGCAGAGGAGCAGTCAATGGGCAGCAGCGAGAGGTGGCCGAGCGCGGCTGTTCCTTTGCCTCCATCTCTGCCTCCTGCTGCTGAGCCCACCAGTGGCGCTAGAGAAGACTGCAGCAGCAACAGGAGGCGGAGGCAAAGAAGCAGCTGGGCTCTGCCACCTCTCACTGCTGCCCATTGTCTGCTGCTGCCGCCAGATCACTTCCTCCAGCAATCATCTCCTTCAAGCAGGGGACAAGGCGGCGACGTGAGCTGGAGGTAAGACCCAGCAGGAGGAGAAGGTAATTGGACAGCAGCAGTCAATGGGCAGCTGTGAGAGGCGGCTGAGCCCGGCTGCTTCTTTGCCTCAGTCCTACCTCCTGCTGCTGCCTTCCGTGTATAAAACGACCCTCAAGTTTTCCTGTAATTATTTTAGGAAAAAAGTGTTATTTTATACACAATAAAATACAGTATATTAGGAGCATCCTGAAAAATCATACTAGGGCTTATTTTCAGGTTAGGTCTTTTTTTGGGTGGGGGGGACCGAGTATATGAATGTTCAGTATTTAAATCTGTAAACTTCCTGTGAAGCATAACAGAGCTAACATTAGTACGTAACTTCTAACGCTCTATTTTATTCTACAGCTCTTAACACTAGAAAGCATCACTCCTAGTTCTCTCTCCTCTTTTTCCCAACTTTACATTTTGCTTTCACAGCTACATTTGACCCATCAATGCAAAAAGTTATGTGTTATTTTCCATCTAGCCACTTCCATATTAAAATTCTTGCCACCATAAAACACATCTGTGTTGGTAATACATTTCAATACTGTATATGCTGAGAAATAAAACATTTGATTGCAAAATTAATTTGGAAGCCTACTGAATTCAGTGGGATGTGCTTCTAATGTACATAAATTTCACTAAGTAAGAACTCTGCACACTGTTGTGATCTTAATTGCTTTGGCACTGTAACATCGTGCATTCAGAATGTTTGAAGTGACACAAACATAGTACGCAAACAAATCAAATTAAGATGTTCTTGCTTTATTTATGCATTGGTCCATACAAAAACCAGCAACTGCATATTTTAGTAAAAAAATCTGTAAGTTTACATTAAGAAAGAATAAAAATAGAACAGTTTTCTAAGTTCTGCTCATTAATTTTTTAAAAAAGTTAGTAAGGTCAGCATGCAATTATTTACAAGCATCAATTCAGAATACAACTTTGTGATAACTACCACCATAAAGTGGGCTCAAAAACTGGGTTATAGTCCTTTCTCCAAGAAAGAAGCTTTCTTATATTCATTATCTTATTGTTGCTATAATGTGCTGAAGAATCTGAAGAAAACTTGTATTTCAGGGCATAAAGTCCCACTTAAGCTGTTCAAATAGTTTTGAAAATATATAATTTGTGGGAAATGCCCTATCGATATTTCCCAGATTCTTGATATCTGACAGCAACTCTGGGTCGGTTTAACCATATGAACTAGAAACTGCTTATAAAACTACTTACTGTGTATATATCAATTAGACAATTGTCCCAAGTTTCATTCTTGGAAAAAGAACTGGTCAAGAGAAATATTGTGATTTATAGCTGCCATATTTCCTCTGTCCAGTTTATTAGACACAAGCTCTATGAGCTATTTTTGCAAATATCAGACGAAATACACTTTTCCCTCAAACAGGAGCCCACAAAATGTACATTTATAGTTATGAAGTGTCTCAAAGTCTAACAGGCCTCTAGCTCAAACTCATCATCTACCAGATGGTCGATACTTCTCACTTTGGTTGGTGTGCCGCTGCAGTTTTCCTACAGAACAGAGGATTGGACAAACAATTAGCATACCTGTAACTTTATTCATACTACTACTGGCTATTTGCGCACATAACTATCCAGTTAAAACTGGTTAAAGCTTTACACAGTATCTTTGAATAAATCATCTTTAGAACTGCAGGACACATTTGTTCTAATTTGAGTTCAGCTACCACAGCATACTTTATCAATTCTGGATGCAATTTCAACTTTTCTATCTACCCTATTTCTTGAGACTTCACTAAAGGCCTATTAAGATACAATCTCAGGTTACAGTGGGGTCTCTACTTAAGAACTTAATCCATATTGGAAGGTGGTTCTCAAGTGGAAAAGTTCTTATGTAGAATCTGCATTTCCCATAGGAATGCATTGAAAACCATTTAATCCGTATCTGCTCTTTTCCGTCCATAGAAACTAATGGGAAGCTGCTATTCCGCCTTCTACCACTAGAGGGGGATTTTTTTCTTTTTTTTCCCTTAGGTCAGGGAACAGTGTTAAAAGCACTTCTGACGAAGCTAATTTTGAAGCAATGGACTGAAAACCAATTAATCCGTTCTGGCTGTTTTTTTCATGTAGAGGTGCGTTCGTACATTGAAGCATTAGTTCCCATAGGAACTAATGCAAAGCTGGTTAATACGTACTCTACCACTAGGGGGAGAGCTTTTTTTTAACCTAAGATGACCTAAGGTTAAAAAAAGAGCAGGAAAGTTTTTTTTTCCTGTTCTTATCTGGATTTTTGTTCTCAAGTAGAAGCAAAATTTAGCAAATGGAGCTGTTCTTAAGTGGAATTGTTCTTAAGTAGGGACGTTCTTAAGTAGAGACCCCACTGTATGTAAAATACCACCTTACTGAAGATATCTCTCTTTACAGGTTATTCACAGAAACACAAATCTACTTTGAAATGTGAACAGAGCACTCAGATCAAATTTGTAAATACCTCTTTTTTTAAGCAGCAACACAATTCTAAGGAACCCATCTAGTTTGACCCTAAAATATAAGAGTCTGAGGCTTGTCTACATGCATTCATTTGGAGCAGAATAAATAGGGTCGCTTAAGGTCAGATAGAGATCCAATATGCTATTTGGTGTAATCCTTACATCCAAATTGTTTACTCACCCAAGCAACCCTATTTAATCCACCTGCCTGTTGAAAACAATAACGACCCTCCTCTGTCCTCCCACTTCTGGGACAAAGTTAATTTTTAAAAATGCTTTTACATGATGCAGTGCATTTGTGCTGTCCTGTGAAGTCCCCAAGCAAAGACAGGAGGCGTTCATGGGAGTGCCGTCACTCCCCCCGGTTCATAGGGAGACTCAGACCACCCCACCACTCTCTCCCCCTAGGAAAGAACATCGGAGGACAGATACCCAAGAGTTGGAGGAATTATCAAGGGATAAAGGGTGGAAACACCAGGGGGTAGATACTTGGGATCTGGTGCTGGGGATGAGGGGGTTAAGTGTGGCTACCCAGACTGACTGGGAAAAGGCGGGAGCAGATCAACGGTCGGTGGTGGAGGCGGGAATAGGGGTTGTAAGAGTGGCCAGGGACGAGATACTGGGGGGTTGGGAGAAGATATGGGTGCAAGATCCGTGGACTGGTAAATGGGAGCAAGTCCACGTTCCACATGCAGAAGCTGAAAAGAGACATCGGCAGGGACTACCCCAGAGACCATCTTATTGGGGTGAGTCTGAGACCAAAGAGTGGCGAAAGAAGTTGAGGGAGGAGAAAGAACGGATCCTCAGGGAACAAGAGACGAAGTGGGCATGGCATCTGGAGGAGCTCCGGAAGATGGGCTTCTACCCGGAACATGGCTCAAGAAGCAAGGAGGGGGATCTCCCCTATGGGGCTGGCTCGGCAGCGAGGAGACCCTCCCACTTCTAACCCCAGACAAAGATGAAGGAGAAACCCAAGAACCAGAAAGAATGTTAGGTGGACCTTGGGACTTAAAAAGTGTTAACCCGTTTGAGACCAGTTCATAGACACCCTTGTGTGCTACGTTTCAGCTGCAAGAGATGTTTGAAGTTAAACATGTTGATGTTCAAATACCAGTTCCAAAGTTAATAAATACAGAACAATGGCTTGACTTAAAACAGTCTCCTGGTTTATTGGGAGAGAAGGAGAGCCCCAAAAACGAACCTTCACATGTCCTAATACAGTTTAAAAAAAATTTTTTTTTTTTGTGCTCCTCCATGGAGCAGAAGTGTTTCATTTGGCATATTTTTCTTTCCTGCAAACATTTGCTGCATGGCCCTCCTCTATCTACACCTTTAAGTCAGGAAAAGGTGGTGACTAAAAGCACGTTCTGAAATCCATGTCAAACTATGCTGAAGGCTGGTCTCTGTAGGATGGAGGAGAAGACATGCCCCTCTAATCCAGCATTTCTATTTTGTTTTTTTAGGGTCCACTATCCAGCTAGCCACTGTGCTCACTTAATCCCTTTTTATGAATTTCAGAAAGTTTCAAACAAATTGTTCTGCCTCTCTACCATTGATACTCAATGGCAGCTACAGGTAACACAAGCTATTGTTACAGAGAAAAGGCCAGACTCTCAAAGAAGTCAAAATGTATCTTTGGTACAGGCAGCTGAGAAATAACTGATGAAGATCTTGATAGCCCAGGCACTGGACATGATGCACAGTCCCATCATCTCACATGCTTTCCTCCTGAAAGCCAGTTGGTACAGTTCTGCAGATGGCTGCTGTTGCCAGTGTGGCCTTCAACTCTATGGTGTTGCAAACAAACCAGACAGGTCTCCAGTATTTCTGAGATGGTCAGCTTCTACATCTCAGCTATCTTTCAAGAAATAACAACTACAATCCTATCCTGTGATAACTAAAAAAGCAAGAAAACTTTTGAATGTCAATTTACGCCCACTGTGGCCAGCATGCTGAAGATCAGAAATAAAGATGCATCAGTGAAATCTGAACAGCATATTGTAGAAAAGCAATGAGCTACTGGCCAGCTGACAGCCAAGAGCTTGAAAATTTTACTTTTCTACAAAACAGACACGCAGACAGTTAAAACAGATCCTAATTAATTCCTTTATTAAATAAAGGTGTATGTACAGTTTTTACATTTGGCCTAAGTTTCTGCATGCTTACCTCATTATCCTGAGAGCTTGCTTGTGATTGAGCAGAGTTACTTCGTACAGATTCTGTTTCCATATCACTAAGATCAACAGGACTACTGCAAAAATAAAACATTCCAGAATATGGAATTACAGATGTAGAAACCGTGTTTCATTTTGTAGGACAGACAAGTTACTTTATATTATCTACTTTCCTTTTTCAGACTAGCATAAATCTTGGTTTCTCTTCCACACTAACGCTTCAACACTGGGCATGTTTTTGTAGAAATAATTATGTGAAGGGGGATTACAGATATAACTTACAGCATCACAGAAATGTAGAGCTCAAATGGACACCCTCGGTCATCAAATGTAACTCCTTACCACAGCAGGAAATCCATAACTGAAATTTCTAAAACTTACAATGAAAGCATCAATAACCCTTCACTTCGGAACAGCTCTTCCGATCAAGAAATTAATTCATTCTTTCTATTTTATACTGTCCTGTTATTGTGAAAAATTATTCCATCACAGAAATGTAGAGCTCAAATGGACACCCTCGGTCATCAAATGTAACTCCTTACCACAGCAGGAAATCCATAACTGAAATTTCTAAAACTTACAATGAAAGCATCAATAACCCTTCACTTCGGAACAGCTCTTCCGATCAAGAAATTAATTCATTCTTTCTATTTTATACTGTCCTGTTATTGTGAAAAATTATTCCGAATATGAATATTTAGGCAAAACTGCCTTTCTTTTAATTTTAATCTTTTACTTCAACTCCTATCCTCTGGACTCAGAGAAAATAACCTTGCTCTGTCTTTAACATGACAGCCCTTCAAATATTTGAAGATGGATATCATATCACCTCTATTTCTTCAGGCTAAATATAGATAGCTCCCACAACCATTCCTCTTAACACTTGATTTCCAGACCTTTTACCATCCTAGTTCTATCATGTACAATTACTTCCCTTAATTTAGGCACTATACTTCTATTAACGTATTGCATTTGCAGTTTTTGCCACAACATTGTTGACTTTCCAGTTCTTGACAGAATTATGTTGACTACATCTTTAACACTTGCATTAGATCAGTGGTTCTTAACCTTGGGTTACTCAGGTGTTTTTGAACCGCAACTCCCAGAAACTCCAGCCAGCACAGCTAGTGGTGAAAGCTTCTGTATTACACAGATTGGGAAACCTGTAACCCCCCAGAAGCAGAAAACTGGCTGCTGGACATGCCAGCCCTGCTCACATATGCCATGCAGCAACTTAAAATGGCTGAGACTTAACATGAACACTGACAGAATGTCAAGTGTATGAATACATCAGTTATCGAACCAGGCAAAATATGCTAACATTTCCACAACATGTGCTGTGTCACAGTACTACAACATCCCTTTCTTTTGGTATTTTTCCTTCACACTTTTTTTCCTGAAAACTGATGGTCCAAGCTCCAAGTCCCAATAAGGAATCAAAGCAAAGATTCCACCCTTGACACTGCAGAGATCCACTAGTTTTAACAATGCTTCCTCAGTATCAATGAGCTTAAGGAGCTCAACATTAACCCTGTAAACTTTTTATTTCAAACCAAAGCATTTTCCGTTCTGCCTTATAAGCCAAGACATAGGAGGGTCCTGCAAATGCCCACATAAAACCATGAACTGCACAGCAAATGTCCAAAACATAGAGATAAGCAGTAAATTTCTAGAATAGTGTGTTCCTCTTGAGGTGAGTAGTAAATATCCATCAAATATTCAAGACCAGTTTATTTTAAACAACCCTAAAATCAATATTACACACCATGAAATACAACTGCTAAAGACATAGGAGGGTCCTGCAAATGCCCACATAAAACCATGAACTGCACAGCAAATGTCCAAAACATAGAGATAAGCAGTAAATTTCTAGAATAGTGTGTTCCTCTTGAGGTGAGTAGTAAATATCCATCAAATATTCAAGACCAGTTTATTTTAAACAACCCTAAAATCAATATTACACACCATGAAATACAACTGCTACTTACATTATTTGTGTGTCACAGCCTTCCTCAGTGGGAGGATCCCAAAAATGCAATGCAACCTTCCAAAGTCTGATTTGTTGGTCCCAAGATCTGCGACTGTATTTCTTAAATTTATTTGGAGTCCTTGGGTGAACCCCTGGGACTCTTAGACACCTTCAAAACAAAAACACTGATTTAACTGGCATGTTAAAGACAAACTATTCTTTCATTTTGAATTCAATATGAAGAATACAGATATACAGTCAAGATTTCATATTTTATTGGTGTAATCTGCCAGCCCACCCTCACTATCAATGTATCACAATTACAATTTAATACTTCACAACTGTATTGTCTGTGTAACAGCTCACATAATCTTATCAACACATCTGAAAGTCCTATAGGCCATACTCCTCCACAAAGCCAAGACCATGAATGAAAAAATCAGCTTTATTTAGCAATGAAAATACAGTGGTACCTCGCTTAATGAGCGCACCGTATAACGACGAAATCGCATAGCGATCCGTTTTTTCGGATCGCTAATGCGATCGCTCAACGTTTTTCTAATAGGGCAAAATTCGCTTTGCGAAGACCGGTAAGCGTTTCGCTTACCGATCTTCGCAAAATGAAGCCCCGACGATCAGCTGTTCGGCGGCCAAAATGGCCGCCGGAAGCTCGGAAATGGCCCAAAATGGCCACGCGCAGCGTTTTCGCGCCCTCGTTAAGCAAGGCGAGGACGCGAAAATGGTTGCCGGCCATTAAGAAGCATCGCTGAACGGTGAGTATTCGGCCCATTTGGAATTCCCTGCCCCGTTCAACGATGCTTCAGCATAGCGAAGGTTAATCCAGAACGGATTAACCTCGCTATGCGAGCCACCACTGTATTGTGAAATAGACAGGCAAGGATCCAAATGTTCTAAAAACTATGATTTACCTTGGAACTTCTCGAATGTATCTGTCATATGCAAGCGTGTTCTTTCCGTAATTTATTTGTTTCTGTCTCCTCATTAGAACAGCCTCATCAGTCTCAAGTTCCACTGCTGCTGTGGACTCCTTGGAATCAGAACTGAAAGAGTTATGCAGACTTTCAATTTTGGCCCACCTTGTTTCATGACAGGTTAACAACGCTACACAGATGCGAATAGTACTTGCAACAAAAATGGGAATGCATCCCCATGGCCATACATGTATCTAACTCAGTATTCAAGCCAGGAACAAATACAGTGTAGTGCTATTTAGTGCCTACAGAGGGCATCTTTCCTCTTTTCCACTTTCACAGAATCTTTGCCTGACCGTGACATACCATCAGACGACAATTATTTATGTTATGCCTCCAAATTAGACTATGATAACGCACTTCATTTAAAGACTGGATAGTCTTCCCCACAGATACTGAAAACTGAACAAGAGAGAGAGAATGGTAAAAGGAAAAAAAAACAGCAAAAATGCACATGTGTTAGCAGATCTGGCCACTAGAACAGCAGTCCTCAACCTTTTTAGCCCCGCAGACTGGCTGAGGAAGGCGGGGCACCCTCATGCGCATACACAAGCGAAGGGCAGCGCTTGTGCAGGTGAGCACGCTTGTGTGCATGAAGGGCGGCACAGTGCACGTGCAGGGCATATGCGTGCTTGTGTGCATGCACAAAGGGTGGCATAGCGCTCACGCAGGTGTGTACACATGCGCAAAGGGCACTGCAGCGCTCACATGCTGGTGCAGACTGGGGAGTGCATGCGCGAGGGAGGTCTCTCTCCACAGCCCGGTCTGGCCCAGGCCTCGGACTGGGGGTTGGGGACCTGTGCAGCAGAAGACACTAGAGACCTTGCTGTGTATTCTCATTAACAAGTACTCATAGAACAGTCTCTGGCTCCCTCTAGTGGCTGTTCTGATAATAGATGTGAAAATAGTTTGTCTGGATTTTTTTTTCCATTTATTTTCAGACTGTTGATAAGTGAATCCATGGATACTGATCTCATGGATAAGGGGGTCCTACTGTAATTCCAAATAGTGCTACCAGATTGCAAGTAAGACCACAGTTACACTTACTTTGTCAAATACATTTGGCCCAGTTCAAAATGTTCATCTTAACTTGAAGTGCATCACAATTCAGGTTCTCAATAGCTGAAGAGTCACTGTCCCAAATTTGCCTGTCCATATAGTAAAAACTGAAGGAGTTTTTTTTCTTTGCTTTCTTGCTATCTGAGGTGCAAAGGGTAACCATGTCATTACTGGCACCCGAAATCTGGAATACCATCCCAAAATCTACACTGTTATTTTGGTATCAGGCCAATGTCTATTTATTTTTCCAAGTTTCAAAATTAAGATCAGACGACAAAAACAAAAAAAGCATGGTGGCACCATAAAGACTTACTGTTATAAGTTTTTGTGGATCAAGTCCACTTCCCAAACAAAGGACCTGGATAGATGAATGGGTAGATATTCTATCTATCTCAGTATTTGGATGATTGTTGGTACAGTTTGGTTCAAACCAAGCTGCATCGTCCACACACATTTCTACTTAGGGGCATCTGTTTTTTAGCAGAATCTGGTGCACTCTAATTATCCTGTTGTGTAGCTTATGCAGATGGCTAGTTCATACCCAAATAAAACAGAGGGTGATGTTATCTGAGGTGACAACCCTGTGACAAATTAGGTAAGCTGTGAACCTGTGACATTAAAAGGAGTGGAGTAACCCTCTCCCCTATATTCTTTTTAAAAGACATCCATAATTGATGCAGTGCAATTCTAATACGATGCCAAGTTGATGCATTGTTCTTTCAATATGCCAATTACATTATTTAACACATACACACACCCAAAATGAAAGTCACCATGACCCACCGAAGACAGCCACAAGGAAGAGGTCTATGTCATCTCTATAGAAAGGGGGTGTTACCTCCCTTCCATCTCCCCAACATTCATCCCAATGTTTTCCCCTTGCACCACCATGAGCTTGCCCCACCGCTGCCTCCTTACTAGCAATTAAATTGGCTAAACCTTACTAGCAAGTAAACCAGCAATCCAAAGACTTGTGTGACCCTTTTCACAGGAGAAAAAAAATGTGTATCAGGTATATGGATCACTCAAGTGAGGGATAAAATAGATCATGACCCTTTTCACAGGAGAAAAAAAAACATATCTAGGGTATATGGATCACTGAAGTGAGGGATAAAATAGATCACACTGAGAAACATTTTAAGCATGACCCAGACTGCTCCAAATTCATTTGGGCAGACCCTAAGATTTGTTTAGTGTAGTTAAATTATGCAAACCTTGTGTTAGAATTGTGGCTTCTGCTGTATGGTTATACTGTCCTAAATAACAGCTGATTTTTCAGCTTTATGAGCCACTCTGAAAAGATATGAAGAATGGGATGAAAATGCTCATAATAAAAGGGTCAGATCTGAAACTTGCCTTAGAATCATAGAGAACAAGAACATTTTTATAGCTACATCCAAGTACAATTACTGCAACATCATACATAAGCAAACTTTCAAAATGAACACCCTACCGAATATAAACGGTACAAGTTATATTCTTACCTTCCAGTAGAAAGTTTTCTCTCTCTTCCAAATTCATTTATCAAGAGTTTTCTTTTGTACCTTAAAAAATTATGTATATCTTAAAATAGATATTTCCAATGTTTCTGCTCATTCAGCTTCACAGGTAAACCTTTTCTTATTGCAGTATAGATTAGTATAAGCTAATAGGCTTTATATGTGTAGAACAATGTCAGGACCACAGAACTGACAGCATAAAATCCAGTTGCTTTTCTCCAGCGAGTGAGTGCTAAGCTTTCAAGCCACCGGGCAGGCATGCCCTCGAGAATCCCATACATCATTTTTAATTGCTAATAGAAGCAACTTAATGTTACACTATCTTCATCATGCATAACAAAGCAACAAGATTTCATCCAAGTGTCCTTTACAAAACCAGACTACTGTACTTATTACAAGTGATAAAACTGAAACTTCTTCTCAGATGTAATTGCACCCAATGCTACAATCACAGCTACCATTAAGCTATGCCACCGTTATAAGAGGTGTAACAAAATCCTGCCCACAAGCATCATACACATTCATGCTCCACAGTACCAAAACTGAAGTAATTTGCCAATATTAGCACTACTCTCACAGTAGGTGCTACTCTAGCTATTCTTTGGCAAAGGCACAACAGACCATGGCTAAGTCAGCATCTTTGGCCCAGCTCCAGTAAACATGATCAGTACTACAATATTGGTGGGATTTCTAACACTTTATCAGGCAAAAAAAAAAAAGAAAAAAAAAGGGAAAGTGAAAACAGAAAGAGAAAAACATTGTGGCACTTTACAATGACCACCTATATTAAAATGTGAATTTTGGTGGATCAAGTCCAGTTCCTCATACCTGATATGCTTGCACAGACTAACATAGCTATTCGTTCAAAAAAAATTCTGACACTTGTCACTCCTAAAGAAATCAGCAAAGTGCTGTATAAGAGCAGGGAATATACTACTTTCGGTAGCACTGAAGCCCATTCCTGGATACCATGCAACATTTTTAAGTCTAAGTGCATGTCATTGTAATCATTAAGTCGTGTCCAACTATTCTGGCCCATGGGGGTCACGAAGAGTCGGACATGACTTAATGACTACACAACAAGAGAATATGGGTCACACCAAAATGCAGCAACATGGCAGAGAGGAACAATTTCAAATAAGAGTCGGACATGACTTTATACAACAAGAGAATATGGGTCACACCAAGATGCGGCAACATGGCAGAGAGGAACAATTTCAAATGTATTAAGTTAAGAACAGTGCTAAACACTCCCCTTGCCTGCTGTTTTCCAACTCTCTCCTTTTCTCCTGGCTAGGCTTTACTTCCTTAGTGGAAAATATTATCAAGTTATAGTAATATCAGCCAAAATCCAAAGAAGCAAACAAACAAAAAACAAAAACATAAGCTTCATCAGTGTAAGCATATCAAGCAAAACTCAAAGAAACGCACACAAAAGGACAAAAACATGGCACATTAAAAGATTACATTTTAATGTCACCTTTCATGGACAAATCCATTTCATCAGACATATGGAAAAAAATGAAATGCTGTTTTAAATAAACTAGTTTTAAATAAACAAAACTCTCATTATGTAATATTGGTGCATAGTTTGATCCATAGTCCTAAACATTATGAAAGCTAGTATTTTGTGCAGCATATACACACTGCCCAGAATCCCATTCGTAACAGAAAGTGTGTAAGCCATCTCTGGCTTACAGTTGCACAAGCCGAGATCACACCATTGGAAACAGGACTGAGACTTGAATAATACCCCATTTCAGAATTGGTGTATTTCAACAACCATGTGTGCAACCAGACAATTGCACACAAGGGAAAAATAGGACTCTAGCAAGAGAAAGCATTATCTTAAGCAGATATAAAATGGCACTGAGTAAGAACATGTAGCTGTTTCTCAGTTGTTCTTACATGGGAGTGACTCAGATCTTCTATCAAATGTTTAGCTACTCCATCTATTTTCTATGATATAAAACACCATGTAAAACGCCATGTCATATAAACATGGTCAAGCTACTAAAGGACTGGAAGCTGTTTCTGTGTTACCAATCATTAGCAAGGGAAGTAGCAATGTCGCATTTTAACTCACTACTCAGACAGACATATTAGAATATTCTAGGCTCTGCTTTTTTATAACAAACTATTTCTGGCAAGCAAGTTATACATCCTGCTATCTCCATAGCAGCAGGCAGCTAGGGGATTGTAGAAATAGTCTAGCAGCTAGACTATTCCTACAATCCCACCAAAATGTTGAAGGAATTACACCATCCATACCTTGCCATTTCTTTATTAACATTTGTCCTCATTTCATCTTCTTCCACTGCAGTTCCCCAATCCGAACACCTTGAATAGGGCTTATGTCCTTCTGGTGTTGTGAAACTGTAAGCCAAGTCCCAACAGAAACAAAAGTGTGTGTTATCACAATATTTAAAGTAAACAGGCCAAAATCTTACTGGTAATTTTACAGATTTGTAAATGAAACCATGTAAGTTGCAGCAATGAATTACCACTAATTAACAAGATACCCATCAGAGTCCTGCTTACACACCTGGATGTGCAACCAAGAATGCAAACCAGCCATCATTAATTGGTGGCAATCCACCACTGTCATTCATACAATTTCACTCATGCATGTATAAATCATCAACAAGATTCCAATCATGTCAAAATGTGCCTTCTTCTAGAAGCCCCACCAACTAAATCATTCAATACAAAACTAGTTCATATACTGCTTGACTAAACATTATCATCTTAAGCTCCTCCAAAGTAGACCACTATTGATTACCATAATTCCAGTAAGCTACTAGTGTATAATTAGTAACTATAAATCATGCATCTCCCTTTAGTTATATATTAGTAAACTGTTACCATATTTAAGTACAACATACCAGGTGTGTGTGTGTGTGTGTGTGTGTGTGCATCTCCCTTTAGTTATATAATAGTAAACTAGAACCATATTTAAGTATAATATACCAGGTGTGTGTGTGTGTGGTCTGCTGACATGGAAGATGGCAGCATGAAAGACTAGCTCCACTCTAAGCCTGTCTATTATAAACTAATAACACATGCAAACTGGCAATTAATGGGAAATAATCATAAATAAATAAATATAGATATGGGGAAATCAAAGATGACTCAAGAAAACAAACCAGATGCTTCTTCAAAAGATGAGGAACAGGGTGATTTTTTCATCTGAAGATACTGGCAGCGAAAGAGCTTTTAAGATGAAAGGGAAAAGGCAAAAGAAATCGGCTAACGAGCAGAGTGATATGAAACAGCTCTTAAAACAAATAAGGAAAGATCTATAAACAGACATGAAAACTGTTATAGCACAACTGTAAGAAGCATTAGCAGAGCTGAAAGTCAGTATTGAAAAGATAGAAAAGACTGTTAATGAGGCTTTTGAATTGGTACAAAACCAACAAAGACTGATGCTGTGGAAAAGGAATTAAAACTATTAAAAGACAGGATCAAATCCCAGGAGAATCGTGATCGTAAACAAAACCTACCTAAGATTTTTTAGAGAGAGGAAGAAGACAGAGGACTTAAAAACTAATGTTTTAAAATGGATCCAGGATCTCTGCCCCGACCTGCAAATTACAGAGAATACTTTGGAACGAGTTCATTCATCAGGTTTGCCTTCTACACAGCAAAAATGGCTGTACATCATGCATTAAACAAAGTGGAGGATCTGTCATACCAAGGTGAAAAGATAGAAGTCTATCAGGATTTGGCTGTGGAGACAATTCAGAAACAAAGAATGGAGACTGATCACAGAAACACTCTGGAACCAAAAAGTGAGATATGGCTGGGGATTTCCCTTAAAACTAATTATCTGGCATGGACAGAGACCTAAGACTGTAACAACAACAATACAGCTACAAGATCTCTTGAGAGAGATGAAGATTCAAAGGCCAGAGACTGGAAAAGAGAAATCTGGATGTAATCCAAATGCTCATGAAGAAGAAAGACAACTATGGTGGAACAGAGCTGGGGGGAAATAGCTAAAAAGCAGAAACCCTTGCTGAACACTCTGAGCTGTCTCAAGGTTTATCTCTGCTGAGAGAGGATAAGCAACTGGCTCTTCTTTTTTCACTCTGAGCTGTCTCAAGGTTGAAGCTGGACTTTTATCTCTGCTGAGAGGATAAGCAACTGGCTCTTCTTTTTTCTTCCTTGTTTTTCTTTTCTTTTCTTTGTTTCAATTATATTACTGGGCTAATGGGGGCAAGATAATGGTTTATAATTTTAGGTTTATTTATTTATTTATTTATTCATGCATTCGATGGTTTATAATTTTAGGTTGATTTATAAAGAGTTTTTGAACTGAATCATATTTAAGAAAGGGATTATACCTTTCTTTCAAAGAAATATGAAACCTACTGAAGGATAGATCGTATAATTATATCAGAATCATTGGCACCACTGTTAGATAAAACTCACTTTGCACCGATAATAACCTCAGACCATGCACCACTGAAAGTTTCATTGACTAATAATACTTTAAAAAAACAGGATTTGGAGATTATGTACTAATATATGTGCAAATTGACAAATTATTGAAAAAATTAAAACATATTTTATGAACTAAATAACAAGGAAGAGATTAAACAAACAGGTGGAACATTTAAGGGGAAATTCATCATAAAGGGATCTAGATTAAAAAGAGAAATTACAAATACAATTAGAAGATAAAATTAAAAAAACAAGAACATAAGAAATCAGGATCTAATACAATATTCAGAGAAATGACAAAAGCTAGAGCAGAATTATAAGTATTGGACATAAATAAAACAAATTGCAATAAATTATATAAAGAGGAATTACTACGAATATGGAAATAAAAACTCCAAATTATTATTTAATGCCATAAAAAGGAAAGCTATTAAAAACTGATAAAATAAGAACTAAAGATGATAAAATAGTAACATCACAATAGCAAGTTCAAACAACTTTTAGGGAATAGTATAGAGAGGCATATGAGACAGAAATAGGACCAGAAACAGATGTTCATGAATTTGTGAATTCTCTACCAAGTAATCCAATTAGCAAAGAACTTAAAAACCAACTTGACTCAACAATAACACTTAAAGAGATAAAAATAACTATTAAAAAAAATTAAGAAGTTTAAGTCAACAGGTTGTGACGGTTTCACAGCAGACTTCTATAAAATACGGGAGGACAAACTATCTGAACATTTATTAAAAGTATGTAACACAATAATGAATGGGGAAAAGGTTCCAGACTCCTGGAAAGAAGCAAGAATAGCAGCTATCCCAAAACAAGACAAAGACACTGAAACAAATATTGGAAGAAATGTTAGCCAGGATTAAAAATTAATTATGCAGCTATCCCAAAACAAGATAAAGACACTGAAACAAATATTGGAAGAATTCAAATGTTAGCCAGGATTAAAAATTAATTATGATAAATCTAAATTGCTAGGCATAAATAATCCTATCCAAGAGCAAAAAGAAATCAAGAAAGGAACAGGTTTAGACCTATGTTATTCAAGTTTCAAATATTTGGGAATTTGGATAACAAAAAAATAAGGCAACTAGTCTATGAGAACTACAAAAAGTATTTAGTTCTATAAAGGAATTAAAAAATGGAAAATATTAAATCTAACATTATTGGGAAGAACTGCAATAGTAAAAGCTCATATCTGACCAAAATTTCTATTAAAATACCCCTCTACAATTGGAAACAAAAAAGATAAAACAATGGCAAAATGTATTGGAAAAATTTAAATATGGCTCAAGTAGAAATAGAGGGCTAGCAATATATTTACTAAAATATTATGAAGATTGCGAGACTCCTGAATGAGCAAGAATAGAGAGAGAACAAGGAAGGTCATTGGATGTAAAGGATATAAAGAAAGAAACTTGACAAATGAGAAACAAATAGAATCCTTTTACTAAAGAATTACTCTGGATATGGAGGAAATATATGATAACCTTCGCTCCCCCTATATCTCCATTATGTCCTGTATTAGAACACCCTAAATTTAAATTTCAAGATAAATATGCACAATTTAAACAATGGAAAGAGAGAGGAATGTATAGAATAAAAGACTTGTTTGTACAAGTAAAACCTATTACACTTGGACAGCTCCAGGAGAAAACCAGGTGTATAGCAACTAATTGGCATCAGATAACTCAAATCAGAAATTTGGCAACTCAACTGCATAGAACACTGGACTCAAATAGACCATTAATAGAAATAGAAAAATATTTCAACTACATAAAACACTGGGCTCAAATTAATAGACCATTAATAGAAATAGAAAAATATTGTATAGAGATAGGGAAGAAAAGGGAAACAGGGTTAATTTCAGCACTTTATAAAAGTATTATAAACAATTTGGAGACAATATGCAATCCAAGACTGTTTGGGAGACAAACTTAAAAACTGAAATATTACGAAACACATGGAAAATAATATGGATCTCTCAACCTTACAAACCAGTTTCATCTCAAGATAAAAAATGGTATTAAAAGTAGTGCACAGATGGCACTTATACTCTGTAAAATTAAATAGAATAAGTAAAGGAATATCAGACATGGGTTGGAAGAAATGCAAGAATAAATGAACTTTGGAACATATGTGGTTAGCATGCCCAAGAATAGAAATTTTCTGATCTGAGGTAATTAAGTGATTAAAGTATAACAAAAGAAAAATAATCTCAAATGAAACTTTGCTACTTTTTTCGTTATTTATGGGAGGGAATGAAAACATTGTGCATAAAGAACTAATTGCAATTATATTAGGAGGAGCCCGTAATGAAATTGCCGAACACTGGAAGGACGCTCAGGACTTGTCTATGCAAGGATTTGAAAATAGAATATGGAGACTGGCTCCGATGGAAAATCTGACCTATCGCATTAAACTCTATAGAGATGAAATAAAACAAGATACATTTATAGAAGTATGGAATCCCTTGTTGGCCTCTGGTGCAGGAGATTGAATGGAAAATGGGCTGAAATGCTGGTTAGTTTGAATAACTGTAGGGTTAGAAGTAGAACATATATACTGTAAATGTTTAAATATTATTAGTATACTATAGGTAAGAAAATTATTGGAAGTGTTACTGTATTTATAGTTAATTATTACTTTTTTGTCACATGACTTGAAGACTGTGACTAAAAAAATTAAGTACAACATACCTTTCTGGCCTGTTATCTAGTACCGTGTGTGTACTATCATCATCATTATCATCAGGTAAGCCTGAATCATGAGTGCTTCTGTATTTTCCATCTGCATCACGCTTTCTTCCTTGGGTCCAACGTGCTGGTGGCCTGAAAGAATGAATCAAAAAGTGTAAACGCTGAAATAAATTAGTTCTCACATATAACATCAGCAGAAAAACAAAACTAAGCCACACTGATGCTGTTGTATCTGCTTTCCCAGCCTTTATAAAGCTGTCCTCTTAAGATTGTATAACATCCAATGATACGCAAAAGATAGCCCACACAGGTCCACAAAAATAAGACAAACTCCAAACCTACAGGCAGAAAGATTTTATTATGGTCAGTTAAAATTCCATAAACATTTGCGCATCTAGATGGGTCTAATATATTGTTTGTCTGTAGATTCCAGTTGTATATAACATCCATGAGTCACTTTTTCCTCCTTACTGCTCTACTTTCATCTCTTAATGGCACCTCTTCTACAAGTGCAGAAGCAGTCCAGCAGAAGATGGGAGGATACACTCCATTACCTACTCAATACAATATATTAAATGGAAAATCACTACCTCAAAGGAAGGAATATTGCAAAATACGATATGCAAAATATGTTTTAACTTGTAGACTAGATTTTAGTGGTTCTGACAACAATATTAATGGCAAGGGCTGGTGGAACTTATATCCTCTGATAATTTTGTGATAGTTTGCTACTATATTAATTATGTCTTTTTAAATACTGTCTGCAAGAAATGTTTCCATGATTCTTTAATGTTATATTAATTTATTTTAATTGGGGGGGAGAGAAATCCTTCATTTTTTGTATTTATTGTACTGGATATTGTATTCTGCTAGTACTCTATTGTTCCATGCTGCTATGTATTTAAATCAACTTGTTGAAACTAAATATAAAAACTACAGATAAAAAAGACAAGATGGGAAAGGCTACTTGCTTTTTTCTTTTCTCCATTCTTTCTTCCTTCTGTCATCTAAAAGTTTGTTTTTAATTATTATATGTAAGCCGCATGGGCAGCCTTCCCCCCCCATCTTAGAAAAATGTTAGAACTACTGTACAAAGCTGGAAGTGATTCTGTGGATCACCAAGTCCAGCTCCTGTCAGAAAGGCACAGTGGAGATTTGAACCCCCAAACCACTCAGCTATCATATATATATGATACACACACACGTATGTGTAATCAGTCCAACAGGTCCTTCTCCCAATCCCACTATCCTCACAGTAATGGAAGAAAATAAAACTATTTCCAGTGGTCACTTCCTAGCTGAGCACCTCCCTTCCCCTGACAAACAAAGACTCCCCTTTTCAGAAAGGCCTTTGATTATTGTCCCAATGACAAAGGAGATTTTAAGGGGGTAGCCAGCCATTTATTATCTGTTTGTGTTCTGATGTCTTTCCAATCTGATCCAAGGTAGTCATCCTTTGATCCCATTATTCAATCATCGTTTAATCACATCATCTCTGGCATTACTGAATACTGTAATATTATAACAAGTTGTGGTAAATTTATTGGCTCTATAATTAATATATTTTAAGGCAGCGTCCAGTATTTTATTGGTTCCATTTATACATCCTCTTTTAACTGATACCAGAAACCGAAAGCAGGAAATGCTTTTTAAAAAGTGACTAAAAACACAACTCGTGGTAACATTAAAGTACTAAGTAATGCTACAGATAGTTTTGAGAGAAATAGAGGCAGGATCAATGTCCTGGGGTGCGGCTGAAACAAAAGCGCGGCCCTCGAAGCAGGCCCCGAGCCGATCGGACCCATAACGGAGACGCGGAGCCACTGGCAGGCCAAGAGGACACCTTAGCGGCGCGATACTCACCTATCGTGGGCGCGGCCTCCGAGGGGGCTCCGCTGGCGAAAGGACATGATGAAGAGCGACCGACCGTCTCCCGCGAGGACAGGAAAAAAATAACGAGCCCACCTGCCCGTTGCTGCTGCTGCTGCTGCTGCTGCTGCTGCTGCTGCTGCTGCTGCCGCCGCGCGCCCTCCTTCGCGGCCTTCGCTGGCTCGACTGAGCTCCCGCCCCGCCTCTTGCGATAAAAGGCGCGGGCGCGCCAAACAAAAGAAGGCCCTACCATTCTCCAAACGGTAGGGGGTAAGAAATGAGGAAGGGCAACACCCCCTCGACTCCGCAACTTCTTCGCTTCTTTCCATGAGTCTGCCGCCGGTCCACATGCAAAACTAGACGCCACCACTTCTGTTTCAGGGCAGGTTTCTCCTTAATGTCTACAGGAGGAACGGTGTCCACGTTTGTTTTGACAGTGCTCCCCTATAAAGAGCACACTAGTGGAGCGTCCCAAGTCTTGTTGCTGCTGCTCCTCTTCCTCTTGTCCACCAATTCGCGCGCTTTCAGGGGCTTCTGTGGAGCCGTCCCCTCTCCACGGAGTGGCGATAGCGGGAAAGTCTGAGGCTTCACCAGGACAAGAGACTGGAGTCTTCTGTTCAAAGTTTAAAAAAAAAATCCCCAACTGATATTATAGCAATAAAAGGGAAGAAATTTAAACCTCTGCTCACACCCAAACTCTTGGGCACCCATTTTTGTACCGTAGGGCTCACCCCAAAGCAATGCGACAGCCTAATCCCACCAGCCTTTCCACTCGCCAGAGCATTCCAAGTGGCGGGGATGAGTCCAGTTCTTTATCTGTAAGCAACACATTCCGGGCCCAGTCCTGTCCGGATCTAACCTTCACCGGCCCAGACCAACAGATCGGCATTTGAGGAAAAGAGTGTCATTGTGTTCAATGAGACTTCATTGCCTCTGTCGTTAGAGAGTGGAGGAGCGGAATTCGCCTCTTGTGCACCTTTGCGAGGAGGGAGGGTTGCTGTGTGGTCTGAATTTCGTGGGTCCCTCTTCAACAGTAACTTTTTGTTTTAAACAAGAGGCTATTCTCTTTGGGGAAAATTTGCAACAGGAATACACAGACATCCAGTGTGGGCAAAATACAATTTTAAAAGTGTAACCAAGCAAAAGAGGGACGTGGTGGCGTTGCAGGATAAACTGCAAAGCTTCTGGGCTGCAAGGTTGAAAGATCAGCAGTTCCAATTCACACGATGGAGTAAGCATCTGTTGCTTGTCCCAGCTCCTGCCAACCTAGCAGTTCGAAAGGATGTAAAAATGTGAGTAGTTACCACCACGGTGAGAAGGTAACGGCACGTGCTGACCATGGAAACTGTCTACAGACAAACGCTGGCTCTACGGCTTGGAAACGGGGATGAGCAGTCGGACACGACTGGACAAATTGTCAAGGGGAACCTTTACCTTAAATAAGTAAAGGAAGCTACCAAGAGAAACCTCCACCAAAAAAAAACACACACACACACACCTTTAGTTACAATGCAAACTAAATGCATCTCTTCTCAAAAAGTTCTGACTTTCAGAACTTTTTAAAGCTCCCTTTCTCAAAGGAAACCACATCCATTCACAAAGTGAACTGCTGTTTAAGATGTCTCTTGAAGAAATAGTTCTCACATATTGCAGGGCATTATTCATAAACTTATCCCCAAAGGATGTTGGTGCAGTGTTTAAAATTTCCCTTACGAAACACATCGTAGGAGCACATGTATTTAACAAAAACTAGTCTCATATAGGGTTGTTGTGGTCATCAAGTTGGAACTGACTTTTAGCAACCCTAAGAGGGTTTTCAAGGTAAAAAAGGTCTTTACGGAATGGCTTTACCAGCTCCACTCCCCCAGTTAATTCTATGGATGAGCAGGAATTTGAACCCAGACCTCCTGGGTCCTCGTTTCTCACTCTGCCCACTATGCCACACTGGTTGGATAGCTCAGTGGTTTAGGTACCTGGCTGCAGAGCCAGAGATTGGGAATTCAATTCTTCACTGTACCTCCTGGGAGAAGAATCAGCCTATATAGTCATGGGCAAACAACAAAGTCCCAGGGTATCCCCAGAAGAGAATAGTAAACCACTTCTGAGTATTCTCTACCTAGAAAACCTTGGATAGGGTTGACGTAATTCAGAACTGACCTGACAGAATGCAGTTATGATACAGGGGTAGAGATGTACACAAACTGCTAGTTTGGTGGTTCATGCGATTTCATCCTTTGGACAAATAAGTGTTAGATGGTACCCAGCCCTGCCTCCTGTGGTGGGCCCCCATTCAGAGGTAGCACCCCAGCTTTCCTGCCCTGCTTCCTCTGGGCGTTGTTTCTGAATGGCCGCTTGCCATATTTTTGGCCAATAAACAAACTGGCACGAACCACCAGACCAGAAGTTCGTGTCCATCTCTATACAGAGGTAGGAAACAAGGCACAATTTTCACTCTATAATCACTACAGTACATTGTCTATTTGTGTAAAGATCTCAGACTTTCAGAGGATGGAAGGCAGATAGGTAGGACAGCAGCATCAATTGACAGTAATGGTTATAAAGGTTGTCAAGTCATGCATGACAGGTGAATTTAGTTGCTTTGGTCTACTTGGATCTTACTGGTTAGGGCACAGTGATCTGTTCCAAGTACGTAGCTTCTGTAATTAAATAATGAAATATGTTTAAAATTATAAAGTATAGTTGAATTCAGTGCTTGCTGTATGTACAGTTGTGTTCAAAATTATTCAACCCCCAATGCAAGTCCACTAGAGCATGGTTGCAGAGGAAAGGCTGGAACATTTTGGAGTGGCCATCGCAGTCACCAGACTTAAATCCGATTTAGAACCTCTGGTGGGACTTAAAGAAAGCAGTTGCAGTGCGCAAGCCTAAGAATTTGACTGAACTGGAGGCTTTTGCCCATGAAGAATGGGCGAAGATACCCGTAGATCGCTGCAAGACACTTGTGTCAAGCTATGCTTCACGTTTAAAAGCTGTTATAACTGTAAAAGGATGTTGTACTAAGTACTAAGATTGAATGTCACTTGGGGGTTGAATAAAAACTAATAATGATGTGAGCACAGAAAAGACATTTGTGGTTATTTCATTATAAACGTAAGGTTATATTTCTCTGACCTACAAGTGCCTCTTTCATGTAAATGTAAGCAAGATGACTGAATGATCAAAATCAATGTCAAAATGGCCAAAACATTCAATTTCAGTGGGGGTTGAATAATTTTGAACACAACTGTATAAGCTACAAACCTACAGTCAACCCATTCCTTTTGGAAAAAAGGCAGTAAAATCCTAAAATCCTAAAATCCATCTTTACTTTGAGGGATTAAGTTCTTTGTTGGACTTTCCCTTGAACTCCTCTATAAGAGTCCATTAAAACGTTTTTGAAATTCTTAATTGTAGTACAAGTAGCAACCTGTAGCCCCCTAACTGTTGCTAAACTACAGCTCCAATGGTTGCTCCTCATTATTAGCCATGCTGGCTGGGGTTGATTAGACTTTGAATTAACTGTAATTGAAGAATATACAGATACCGGCCAATGATTTATAGAATCCAGACTTTTCTGTAAAGTATAAAATTAGTAGTTTCTTACTAGTCTACTCAGACAGAAAACATCATCTGCAAGAGAAGAAGTTATGACGCAAAGCCTCAGTACTTACCTATGCTTTAAAAAAAAGTTTATTTCTTGGCAAACCAGTATCTTAATGTTCACTATAAAATACCAACTATTTTTCACATCACTCAACTTTCTATCATTTAATAAGAAATGAATTACTTAGGAGTCAAATTGTAAAAGAATCAATACCGTTTTGTATATTGTTAGGAGTCAGTAATAACAAGCATAGTTTTAAGACTAGTTGTATTATTAAATATTTGAATATTATTTGATTATGTAATAAGAGAACAGATGCTGCTGTTGAACTGATAACAGCAGAAATTTCACTCACTCTAGTGGAGTATGTTGTGCATGTATGTCCTGTAGATTTTGGGTGGAATCCTAATGGTTTGCCAGGCTTTGTCTATATAACAAATCTGAATATCACAAACCCATAAAAACCGATTGCCAAAATAAGAGAATTGTATTTTAGGACACTAATGTTATAAAGCATAATCTTATAAAAAGAAGTCAAATATTCTCATTTTTAAAGAATGCCTATTTATGGTTTGACTGATACAGTGCTTCAGAACTCTAATATAACATAATATTTCCCAAAATTGAACAGTGTTATCGGAATTTAAGCAAATGTTGAATGGCTGCTGGAAACAACTCTTAGTTGTTTTAGTATCAGAAACAGGAGGTTAAAGGTAAGAAAAATAAACAGGAAAAAAAGATAACAGACATGGAAAACCAGAGAAACCCAATGAACAGAAGAATGAAAGGTAATATATAGGTGGATGCACACTTCCACCTTTGAAGTGCATTCAGATTTAAAAGGCAAGAGTGTCCTAGGATTTGTTCATCGTGTAACACAGACATCTAAAATGCAGAATTTGGCTCTGCAGGTTGGACAAGGCACACGGCTTGCAAGCCAGGTCTCCGGGTGCTGCGGGTCCTGTTGACTGGCAAACCATTTGCCCATACAAGTAAGACACCACATAGGACGACAGTAGCATTGTTGGCATTCTCCTTCATTTGGTTCTTGACAGTTTTTCAAAAGCTTGATATTTGAGATAGTCTGCATACACCCAATGCACAGCTCCAGTTCCTGTAGGCAGACAAGAAGAAATATATGGCTCATCAGTTTTATTTGTAGAAAGCCATAAATGAAGTGGCACCTTATAGGACAGCAGGAGCAAAACACATACAGTGGTGCCTCGCTTAACGATTACCTTGTTAAACGACGAATCCGCTTTACAATGTTTTTTGCGATCGCTATTGCGATCGCAAAACGATGTTCCTTTGGGGGGAAATCGCATTACGATGATCAGTTCCCTGCTTCCGGAACCAATTCTTCGCATTACGACGATCAACACAGCTGATCGTCGGGTTTTCAAAATGGCCGCCGGCTGTTCAAAATGGCTCCCCGCTGTGTTCAGGACGGATTTTTTGCTGCACAGGCATCGGAAAATGGCCGCCATATGATCTTCGTTGGACGCTGAGGTATTTCGCCCATTGGAACGCATTGAACCAGTTTTCAATGCATTTCAATGGGATTTTTTATTTCGCTTGATGAGGATTTCGCTCTACAGCGATTTCGCTGGAACGGATTATCCTTGTCAAGCAAGGCACCACTGTAGACCACTTTCCAAAAAGCAGACTTAAGAATATAAAATAGTCAATTATTACTTTTCTCAAATGACTGTCACAGATATAAATAAATTCTTGTACCCACAACTGCCACTACAACAAGAATAAGACAAGATACCATATTTTTGCAATGTACTGTAATGGACAGAGTAAATGGACAGTAATTAGACTGGGATCCAGGAGACCTGGATCCAAATTCCTGTTCAGCCACAGAACTTCACTAAGAGGTAGCAAAGGTAAACCACTTTTTGAGCATCTCACATACCACAAAACCTCTATTATAGACAGAAGCAACCTGATGCCACACAACATCAGCCCTCAACACACAAACATATATTATCATTCCTTGTGGAAATCAGATCGCATTATATAACTGTTGAGAAAAAGGCCTAAGTCAATCACAGAAATTATCTTGAAATCAATGGAACTTCAGTTAGTTATAAGTTATAACTCAACTGTCTTACTGATTTTAATGTGAATTATATACAATCTATTTTATTTTTTATTTGAGGCAAAATAATGAATAAGTAGCAATCTGGCATCAGAGTTGCAAGACATATTGTGTTATTGACTGTGTCATTTCCAGAAAACTACATAGCATTTCACTCTTCTATTAATATACAGTAGTTTTAAAAGAGGTAGCTAGCTGTGTTAGTCTGTGCAAGTGTATCAGGCAAAATCCAAAGAAACAAAACAAGACAAGACAAAAATATGTGGCACCATAAAGATGTTTAAGGTGATATTTTAATGGGAGCTTTCATGGACAAGTAAGTCCACTTAGTCAGACATATGGAAACAAAATGAAATAATGGATGAAATATCAGTTCCACAAGTAGAACATTCTAAATATTCATTAGCTGTAGGAGTTTTGGGTGTGTAGTACATATCACATGCAGTAAGTTATGGCCTATGTTTGGTATTGGGTTCCATTGTACCGTACACATTCCTACAGGAGACATGCCTGGTACAGTATCTGTTTTCTGTCTTAGTCTCTATGGTGCCACCTGTTTTTGTTTTGTTTCTTTGTATTTTGCCTAATAATCAGTAGAACTAATATACAGTAAGACTCCCAATATGGACGGAATCATTTCCAATATGCAAGGAAGTCAGACAAAGGTGCATTTTACCTCCCTATATACAGAACATATTATGCAAAAAGCTAAATTAAATTCAGATGAAGGAATGAAAATTAATAGAAGAAATGTTAGTACTGTGGTGCCTCGCTTAACGAGTGCACCGTTTAACGATTAATCCGCATACCGATGCGGATTTTGCGATCGCTTTTGCGATCGCATTACAATGTTGCCTATGGGGAAAAATCACTTTGCGATTTTTCCCCATAGGCAACCATTTTCCCCCATCTGGGGGGAAAATGTCGGCAGTGGGAGGCGGCCTCGGAAGGACCCCAAAGCCACCGCCCGACTGCCGACATTTTGCCTTCCCAGCTCTCAAAGGGCCCCCCTCCGACATTGGAGAGAACCCCTTTGAGAGCTCGGAAGGCTCTCAGCGGCGGTGGGGGCAGGGTAGGGTGGATCCGGAAGGCTTCCAGGCAAAGCACTGGAAGCCATCCGGAACACACACACCCTGCCACCGCCGGCTTCTCCAGACCTTCAGGGGATGGATTCTTTTCTACAGAGGAATCAGGGAGCCTTTCATCCTTGGAGTCGGGACAAAGGTATTCTGTTTCCTTCTGCACATTAATCATTGTATACTTTTGTCTTGATTACAACTCATCGTTTCTCTGTTTTATAATAACTTTGTTTAATTTCCAATTCCTTCTAATTGGGTGACTTGAACCAGGAATGTATTTTAGACACTCAATGCCTCACTTAAGCTGCATGTTCATCTTTTTACAGTGGACCCTCGACTTCCGGATTTAATCCGTATTGGAACGGTGGTTGCAGGTCGAAAAGTCCGTAGGTTGAGGGTCTATTTCCCATAGGAATGCATTGAAAACCTCTTTTTTTTATTAAACACAGACAAACATACAAAACAAACACAAAAACGTATATGCAGAGAGAATATATCCATTTAACATATAAACCTGACTACATAAACCATATTGCCCTACTAAGCATCTTTAGGCCATATCCATTTAATATATACAGTGGTGCCTCGCTTAACGAGCACCTTGTATAGCAACGAATCCGCATAGCGATCCCTTTTCCGGGATTGCTAATGCGGAGGCATCGCGTCGGCCTCTATGGCCGAAATTCGCATAGCGAAGATCGGTAAGCGTTTCGCTTACCGACCTTCGCTTTGTGACCCGCCGATCAGCTGTTCGACGGGTCCAAAATGGCCGCCGGAACAGCCGAAATGGCTGCGCGCAGCGTTTTCGCGCTCTCCCCCCGCTTACCGAGGGCGTGAAAATGGCGGCGGTATGGAGGAACTTCGCTGAACGGTGAGTACGGAAGCCATTGGAACGCATTAAACTAAGTTTAATGCGTTCCAATGGCTTTTTGCTTTCCGTTTAACGAAGTTTTCACATAGCGAAGGTTAATCCGGAACGGATTAACCTCGCTATGCGAGGCACCACTGTACTGTAATTTAAGAGATGTAGATGATACCTTATTACTGGCAGGAAATATCAATGATTTAAAACAACTACTGATGAAGGTCAAAGAAGAAAGTATACATGAGGGTTACAGCTGAACATTAAGGAAAAAATAATGTCTAATATAACAGTGCAGAAATAGAGATTATTTTAAAAGTTCTATACTCAAAAGTTATCAATTCAAAAGGAGAACAAAACTTAGAAATCAGACGGAGATTGATACTTGCAAGAATGGTTGTGAATGAACTAGAAAAGATCCTAAATGGCAAAGGTGACCAACTTCTATTAATCAAAGGACTTTATAACTCTTTCAAGAGTTCAACATATGACGTGCAGATGGCACCTTCATATAGAGACCTACCCAGATATTTGTCATCTTTAATTGTAATTTATACCAGATTCTTTTTGAGATACAGTATTGGTATATTCTCCATTCCCTTTTTAATGAAACATTTATCACTATTATTCTGTTCGCACCCCCTCCCTTTTAATATCTTTCCAGCTCTTTATTCAGAATGAGTTTTTGTTGACTTGTATGCTTTAATTTTATCTTGTTCATTTACATATTAAGTACATTTAAAAAAATAAGAAGTCTAGGGCTGTGTCATTGGAGACTAAGACTAAGATCATTTATACCAGTGGTTCTTAACCTTTTCTTTACCATAAACCCCCTTTAAATATCTTTTGTTGCCGTGGACCACCAAGGCTTAACTCAAAATTTAAAACCCTGAATATTTACTTAAAGTTTCTCATGAAGGGCCTCATCGAGAAATATTCCTTGCTATAACAGCAACATTTTTAAGATAACTGGAAGAAGCTTCATTTTACTTTGAAGAGAACAAGATGCACCATCATCAATAGCACCAGTTCTTTTACATTTCAAATTCAGCTAGCGATCCATTCTGAGGCTCAACCAAAATGTATTGTTACAAAATTCACTGTGATAATATCAAAAAGCCACTTTACCAATCACCAGTTTTATTAGCAGAAACTGAAGAAGAAACACAATCACAAAATCCAACCGAACACTCACTCCAACTCTTTCTTCCCGCAGTTTCTGACTGTCTGCACAGTAGCAAGATACGCCATGCGGTATTTCTCAGCCACTCAAGTGTTATTCACTTGGATGTTCTCATCATGTGCAGAAAAACAGTTATTTGCTATCAAATAATTATTTTCATAACCAATTTTTACTTTTGTTTTTAATGGAGGTGGTAGTTCAGAAAAGCCAAGTTTTATACAAAAAAACAAGGGACATTACGATTTTGTTTTACATTTCCTTTTCTTTCTTTCTTTCTTTCTTTCCTTCTTTCTTTCTATTTTAACGGCAAAAGATTGTAACTTTTTTCAAGCCTTTGTGGACCCCCTATGAGGGCATTGCGGCCCCATGGGGGGCCACGGACCACAAGGTAAGAACCTATGATATATACTGTTGTACTCTTATGCTCAGATGTGAAAAATGGACAATAAATAAAGTTGATAGAAAAAAAATTCAACTGAAATGTGATGTTGGGGGAAAATTTTAGATACCATGGATCACCAAAAACACAGTAAGTTGGTGCTAAATCAAATCAAGCATAAACATTTATTAGAAACAAAGTGATTAAACTAAATTGTTATAGTATGAATATACAATAGAAAGATCTTCAATATCTTGAATTCAGAGTGGAAGCATATTAGCAGCCAGTGCAATTATTCCAGGACTGGAGTTAGGTAGGTTCTGAAATGTGTTCCTGCTAGCAGTCTAGCTGCTGCATATTACACTAACTCCAGCATTGGTGTTGTCTTCAAGGGCAGCCCTACATGAATTGCATTACAATAGTTTAACCAGGAAGAAACACACATATTTCCACAAGGCTCTCCAGTCACTATTTCTGATGTACCTTAGATGGCTGTGGTATTCAGCAGGGCTCTAGCTACTCTGAGAGTCACTGAAAATAACAGACTTCTATCAGTGTTATTTCAAGAAATATAACCTATGTAAGTTTTGAGCAAACATGTTGTGTGAGAGAGATAGAGAAAGAGGAGAAAATGGAAAATCTGTCTATACTTTTAAAGGTTTCTTTAACAATTAAAATAAAAGTATTCAATCATATTTTTAAACGAACAAAACGGTGGGTGAAATAACTCTATACATGGACATCACCAGACAGCTAATATAGAATCAAATAGGCTATATAATTGGAAGCAGTAGATAAAGAAGCTGTATTCTCTTCACCAAATAAGACCAGGAGCAGATTATGGCACTAACCATGATGTGATAATACCAAAAAACTGAGTAAAGAAGAAGGACATAAAAGAACCACACTATCAAAACATAGTTTAAATAACATTTCTGATGAATTAAAAGTCTGTATAAAGAAATTTGTATTGCTGAACTCAACTGATCATGAACCAGAAGAAGTGAAGATTGAAACCAGAGAAAAATGCAAAAGGCTATTCCTGTAGTCAAAAGAAAAGAAAAGTTTACATGGATGACTGATTAAACTCATAAAATGGTTATGGACAGGTGAGTAGTAAAAAAGAAGAGACAGAAAGGGAGTCAGAAGTCTATATGGAACTTTTAGTAAATGTCACATGAAGACAAAGAGAACAATTATAATAATCAGGGCAAAGAAACAGAAGAGAACAACAAAGAGGAAAAAACAAGATGTATCTTTGATAAAATGCAAGACATACAAGAGAAATTTAAACCTACATTAGGTTTAAAATTTGATTTTTTTTAGTTTAAATAAACAAAAAAACCCAATTTTTAAAATTTAAATCAATTTGATTTAAATCAAATCCACTTGGATTGTAAATATATGCTTTTCTTCCCAAAATCTCTGGATTACACCAGAGATTTTGGGAAGAAAATCATCTCTGCTTTATACATCATAGCAGTCTTTGACTGTACAGGCCTTGAGAAGCTGTGAATTATCCTAAAAGAAATGAGTGTGCCTCCATACTTGATTGTCCTCACACATAACATGTACTCTGGACAAGAAATTCCTGTTGAACAGGGAGGAACAGAATAGAAGATATAAAATATAAAGGTATATTTTATGTCCCCAACTGATCGATCTGTATACAACATATATGATGCAGAAAAATACATTAGATTCCGAAGAAGCAGGAATTAAAACTGGTGGAAGAAATACCTGTGATGAGATGGGTTTTTGAGTTAAAATCTTTTAAGGAATATGGGGTTTTGTAATTAAGAAATGAGCCAGAGAGGTTCCATCTTGTTTCTTTGTATAAAGTATCTTTGCTATGCTAACAGGTTGTTTTCTAGGCGAGCGGAGAGAATGTTATTCTGATAGTCTGAGAAAAGGACTCGGTGTGATTAGATGGGAATTGTTGTGACTCTTTGATAAACTACAGTAACCCAAATAACATCTGGTGTGTATGGGAAAGAAGTCATGTGGTGCAACAGGACTGTTTGCCTAGTAACGAGCTCTGATTGGGTGACATCGTGGGAAGGTGCGATAAGCCCTTGCCAGTTACTCTTGAAAAAGGAACTTTTTGCCTATGGACATTGTCTTTCAAGACCAACCTCAGTCATTCATGACCTACTCTTCAGCCGTTTGGGACTCACCCTAATGTCTCTCGAGACGGACTTGTGGCCTATCTACATGGACTGATTCCTATGCTATACTGGATTACTATGGACTTATGGACTTTTTCCTAAAGGATTATTTCTCTATGAACGTCTACTCTTGGGATAATACATATGGACTATGCCCTGGTATTTTTCTAAGGACTATGGGACATATAATGGATTTTTACTTTTGTTAAGGGATTTTTATTCTACAGGATCACTGAGGACTATAGCCTTTTTATAACCTACTTGGATTATTTTGTTTTTACTAATGAAATACTGGACTGGAACTGTTTTTATTCTTTGTAATGGTTTTTTGTGTTTTTGTAAGGTTTTTGAACACTTTTCTATTTTTCATGTTTTCTTTGCCCCACTACAGAGTTGTAAATAACTAACACAATGCTTATTTCTCGGCCTAGCTTACTTAGAGTCCTACCTGTGGTGCAAGTTAAGTCTAAGGACTACAAAGCCCACATGGTTTTATTTCAGCAATAAAGAAAGGGCACAAGGGCATCTTATGTGGGCAGACTTGTAAGAGGGAGTGTTGTAGCATGGCTAGCTGAGTTTGGACTCACTCAGCCCATTTTAGCATGTGCAAACTCCTGATTGCTCTCTGTCCAGGCTTACACGTGTGTTTTCGAACCCGTGTTTGCTGACAATACCAACATCTAAGATATGGAGACGATGTCATAGTATTAGCTGAATGTAGCAATGACATGAAACAACTTCTGATAAAAGTGTAAGAAGAAAGAGCCAAAGCAGATCAACAGACAAAGGATTTACTTTTTAAAAGGCTGAATGCTGAGAACAAGAGAAGATTTGAATTAGACTTTGCGACTTGTGATAGTTTATATTTAATGAAGCCTGGATATTCGCAAACCAATGTGGTATAGGAAACAGAATCAGACCATGACTCAGGACTCAAATCTTCAGAGATACAGAAACTCACTGGGGGTGTAGAACTGGTAAAATATCTCACTTACTTAAATTACTCCTTAAATATCTCACTTACCTTGAAAACTCTACTAGGGTCGCTATAAGTCAGTTCCAACTTAATAGTACTGTACATAAAAAACTGTAGGCATAGTAATAAATACAGTGACTTTGTTCCCCATGCTGGTACTGACCAAGTCATCTGTCAACATTTATTTTTCAAAAGCAACTAGTATCTTTTGCAACAGTAACATGAAAATATTACTTAATAATCCCTTGTCTTTAAAAAGTCATACCTGATTGCTTGGAACTGAATATGTCTCATTCGTTTCTACTAGGGAGGTAAAGGTTTCCAGGAACAAGTCACTGAGAGTCTGATGAATTACCACATTAGCAACATTGCGAATAGGAGCATGGAGCTTCTCACGCAGCTCTCCATATTCTGATGAATTCAACCTACAAAGACAGAATCCCGTATCAGCTATTTGTAAAAATTGGTGGTTTTGGGATCAACTTACTTGAAGCACTGCCTGAACCTATATGAACTTGGACAGCCTCTGGCTGGTACCTTAACAGGTACAAAGGACAGTTCCTGGCCCTATATATTTGGAATTTCAGATTTTTTTTAAAAAAATCAGTTTTTATTGGCTGCTTTATTTTGCTTCAGGTTTTAGTTGCTGTTGTTTTAATCATTAACTTATTTTTTCTCAGTTTTGTTTCTAACATCCAAAATTATGCTAGTGATGTACACATATATACACTAAATCATCTAACTCATTGTGATGAATTGTTACCAACTAATGAGGCTCTAGCCTGTTGTGCCTTATAACACAGCTGAGAGGCTCATTTGTTGGCAGCAATTTGAGACAATAAATTACATTATATAACTTATATACACATAAATCATTAGCAGAATCCTAGTAATTATTTTATTTGTCCATTACTGTACATCCAGTCTAGTGGTGAACTGACACCACTTGAATGCAATTCTTTCTTTTTCTTGCTATTGACAATGATTCCCAAATGTAGATCTTATTTAGCTAGAACAAATTGTATTACTAAGGTTCCACCTCTAGAATGTTTAAGCTAGTTTGCTATAAAATATAGCTCTTACAGCTCTATACTACAGTAACAAAATCCCATTCTCCTTGGTATTAAGTGTTAACATTCAACAAACTGAAAATTATCTTGTTTTACCGTATATCAAAAGATTTCACATTAGGATTAACACTGGCAACGTGGATTGTGAGGAACTGTGCAGGCACATTTGAATCCGGCAAGAGTTCATGTTGTCTGGAGTCTACCACTGTTAGATAGATGTCCTGCTGTTGGGCAATATGTAAACTGTATGTAGTCACTTTCATAACCCAAGTGTCTGTAACAATAACACGTGCTCCTGGGGCCCCAGTAGCAAACTTGTCAATTCTTCTGAATTCTGTGTTGATAGAAGAAGCCACTGCCCTCCAGCCTGACTGTGGGAGAGCATACTGAGAAATCGTCTTGACAAGGGGATGGTTACTCCAACCATTTAATGACCAGTAATATGTTAGGATACCAACAATTGTTGGAACAAGAACAGCCAACAAGAAGAAGCCTTTCCAACCATCCGGAGCCCGGTAAACACTGCAAAGTTGTTTCTCGGGTGCTGCAAAGCACATGCCAACATAATAGCCTGCAAGAGATAGGAAAATGATTTCAGAAGACAAAACAAACGTGATACATAAATACGTCGCTTAGACTTTTATCCAGCTGGTGACTGGAACTTAAAGGCATAGACAGATTACAGTGGTGCCTCGCTAGACAGTTACCCCGCATGACAGTTTTTTCGCTAGACATTGACTTTTTGCGATCACTATAGCGATTCACAAAACAGTGATTCCTATGGGGGACTTTCACTGGACAATGTTTGGTCCCTGCTTCGCCAACCAATTTTCGCTAGACAACGATTTTGACAGCTCCCTCCACACTCGCAAAATGGGTGTTTTCGGGACCTAAGCTTCGCAAGACAGCTATTTAAACAGCTGATCGGCGGTTCGCAAAGCAGCTTTCCTATGGTTGATCTTCGCTAGACAACAACAATTCTTCCCCATTGGAACGCATTAAACAGGTTTCAATGCATTCCAATGGGGAAATGCTTTTCGCTAGATGATGATTTCACTAAACAGCGATTTCAGTGGAACGGATTATCATCGTCTAGCAAGGCACCACCGTACATGTCACCAAAATGGTAGCAGACATCCTTTGCTTATGTGCAACCATGCACCTTGGTTCTTTTGCACGACTGTCATTACTGTGGCTTCTCTACTTCCCAAGCCCAGTTGGGGTGGGACTACACAGCCAACTTCCCTGCATGAACATAAAGTCGTCACTTTCTTTCCCTGACCGAGACTTCCATGTTCTACACCAAGAGAGATGTGGTGATGGTGGCCGAGGAAGGGGTACGAAATATTACTTGCAGAATTTCTCTTCGTTAAAAACAGCAACTCTGGCAACAATATGGAAACTTCCCCCCCTCCCCTCCCCCTCACGCAACCCTTCTTCCGCCTACCCGGTCTTTGCCCCCCCCAGGGCCAAATATCCCAGGGCAGCCCCTTTCCCTCCAAGACCTGCCCCCCACCTCCCCCCTTCCCTCGGGCCCTCCTCTGTCCGGGTTCACCCACCCAGCGGGAGGAGGGAGTGGGCCAGGAGGGTGCTGGTGCCCCGCCGCAGATGGTACTGGACGAAGGCCGCGTCCTCGCTGCCCAGCCAGCCGCTCAGCAGGTTCTGCACCGTCAGCCCGGCCGAATGGAACTCATTGGGGGGAAAGACGAAGCACACGGCCAGCACCACGTAGGCCAGCGTGAAGGTGGCGGCGGGGCTGTCCATGGGTCGGCCCCCGGGGGACGACGGGCTCCGCCGACCGGACCAGGCGCTTCACTCAGGCAGGCGCTTGGCTTATATTTTGGCCAAGCCTCGGAGGCTCTGACCCGGCCGGGATGTCCCGCGCTGCATCTTGGGAATTGTAGTCCAAAGCCCCCGGGGGGGAATCTTCGCGACCCGCTCGCCCGCCCCCTCGGGTTCTCAGCCCCCACATGGGCTCGAGGACCAGGGGTGGGGCGCCGGCCAACCGCCTCGGCGCGGTGGTCTTCCGGCAGAAAGCGAAGCCCGAAGACGGTTGGCTTTGCTCCAATAGGCGAAAGTGGACCCCCCCCCCAGGAACCGACTTCTCTGAGCCAAGGTTGCTCTCTCTCTGCCCTGGGAGGACAGGTAGACGAGAATGGCCCCCTGCCTTTGACGGGAGATTTGACGGGCGAAAAGTCAGGAGCTATAAAGTTCTTCTCTCAGAAAGCCAACTTTGTTCATTCGCTCACCACTCCAGTTCAAAGGAAGCGGGAAGAGATTCAAGCCGACCCATTGCAGGGCTGGGCTCCACGGAGCTCAACCTGAGACTCACTCTTCCGTAAACAAGTTTAGAGATCGACTTAAAAAAAGTCAACCCCCCGCTGCAGGTATATCCGCTCAGCAGTACATTTCCTCATACCCAACTTAAAACGAGAGTGTGGAGAAATGAACTACAACTCCCAGGGTACAGCTGGAACGCGCATGCGTGATCCACCGAGTTGGCTGCCCCTTGTCGCTTTAGAACCATGTGATCTCTGATGTCATTGACCGCTCTGTCTCTATTGGTGGAAGCGAGTTAACGTTGAAATTTGAAAAAGGTAGAACTCGGGAGGTTTGCTGTACTAACAGAAAGGCGCCTGGCGCTTCCTTGGCGGTGAAGCAGGTAAGGGGAGGCCGACAGGCGGGGTTACCTGGCCGTTTTCCTCTGTCGTGTGAAGAAGCCATTCCGCTTCATCCAGGCGTCCAGCGATAGCAGTGGGATGCTGTTCCTTCACCCTGTGCTCCCCGAAGTGGACTTTGGGGCACTAACCGTGGCGGGGGGGGGGAAGAGTAGAATTCATTGTTCTCTGCTTGGTTGCAAGGGGGGTAGGTGGGTGGGTGGGGTAACGAGAAACGGAACGCCCGGTGTCCACGGCCCCACATTGTGCGAATAGTGAAGTGAGGAAAAATGCAAATGGCCGGCATTGTACACGTTTGGAAAAAGCTTTCGGATCTTACCATGACCAAGGAACTCCCCCGGGTGAAATTGAGCCACTGACTTTCTCAGTCTGATCTACTTCACAGGGGTATTCTGAGGAGGAGGTGGAAGGAAATGTTCTGTACACATCACCTTCACTTTAGGAAAGGTGAATATAACAAAAAATAATGTATAATAAGGAGTTGAATTGGAGCAACTCTTATCTCCACTAGGGAAGGAAGCTGAAAAAGGCTACCCCAGTGTATGGCGCTATAGGTGGAGATTCGCACATTTCAGTGTGTAGCTCTTTCAGTCAAGAGAATGTGAGGGAAACCAATTCCAGGTACACATCATAAGTACCTTTCCTTGCCCGTTTGGATGGGAGAGGCCATTTTTGGCTATTGCCTGTTTCCTTGTACTGAAAAAAGAGCAGTATTTTTAGTAGAATCAGCTACAATGGGGCAAAACTGCAAGTTTTTGAATTCTGAGGCAGTCTATATTAAGAAAGGTGATACAAATAGGTGAAAATTTGTGCTAAGTGCTTGTTAGCCACACCATTTCTACTTTTTCAGTTAGTGTAGTATAATCCGGGGAGTGAAGGCAGAAGGGGAAAGCAGCCAATGTGCCCTTTACAGTATTCTGAATAAACGAGCTACGTATTTCCTCTGTTGCTATTTATAAACCCCCGAAAATTATTTTTCCAGAGGTTATTCCAGATCCTGCTGTACTGGCCTTAGAGTATGTGTAGTTCCTTACCAGCAAAAACATTTTATCTGTAGATGCTTTTCTTGAATATATTTGAGAGTATTAAACTGTACATCTCATCAAGAGTCTAAGCATCTCGCAGCACCTGTGGACCAAGCTTTCATGAACTATCACATATCTACTCCTTAGGTCTTGCTGCCTCCCATGTGCTACAGAGGGTCTGAGAGGTGACAAATTTATCTTGCAGCACCTGTGGACCAAGCTTTCATGAAATATCACATATCTGCTCCTTAGGTCTTGCTGCCTCCCATGTACTACAGAGGGTCTGAGAGGTGACAAATTTAATTGCTCCTTGACTACTTTCATTCAGCCTAAGCAGAGCTCTTTGGAGGAAATAAAGCTTCCTCAAATGTTGCCACTTACAAATGTTGGTTACCTTTTTAAACCATAGGTACATGGATAGACAATCCTTACTACATGGGACAAGCCAGTATTTTCTCTATGTTGCAGAAGAGGAACTGACTGAGATGCTGTTTGACCAGTGCAACTAACGAAAATTTGCTGTGATGAGATTGGTTTAGAAACTTCCAGGCTTACACTTTAGTTTTTAAATCATTGACTGAAATTCTGTTGCTTAGTACTGTATAGTGTATCGCAACTAGAATAGACCCATTGAATCAGTGGGAATTTGGTGAGTCAGCTTGTGTGTAACTTCATTTATTTCAGTGGACCTGCTCTATTTGCGGCTTACTATACTAAGCCACAAGATTTTAGCCATTATTTTAGTGAGCTTGTCTTTGAATAAAATTACATAGAGCTTGTTGTCTTCTCTGCCTTCCATGGGAGGAAACAGAAATACGAGAGAGGAAAAAAATGGTAGCATTTTATTTGGCTTACTTACTTTAATCACGTATTTCTTTGATATGAAAAACCCTAACTTTTCTAGCTCAGTGGTTTAGGTTTCTGGCTGAGGCGGCCACTGGCCGGGCTGGTGCTGGGGGTGTTGAGAGAGAAAGAGGTTGGGAGTTCAATTCCCTTCTGTGCCTCTTTGACAGGGGTTGGGCTTGATAAAGTCCCTTCCAGCTCTGCAGTTTTAAGAATATCATTGTTCTTTTTCAGTGCAGATAAAACATTCCTCCCCCTTCCTCTACCATAATCATATCCAAAATTAATGCAGTCTAGGAGAGCTAGAGGCGGTGGTGGCAGCTGCTGTTGGAGGCACTCTTTGAGGAAGGGCCGGGAGCGAGCTCTGCTCTCAGGCATCACTCAGGGGAAAGGCCAGCAGCACGCCTTGCTTACCAGCTCTCTCCCAAGACAGTGCCTCTTGTACCCTCCATCCGGAACTGCAGCCGGCAGACAGGCGGGCTGGCTGGCAGGCTGCAGTGCTGGATGGAGGGTGCAAGAGGCACTGTCTTGGGAGAGAGCCGGTGAGCGAGGTGAGGCTTTTTTTACTCTTGACAGCAGAGGACACATGGGTGCTTCGGCGGGCAGGCAAGGCGGGGGCCACAAACTATTGTCTGGCATGTCTCAAATGGCCCCCGGGCCACATGTTTGAGACCCCTGCCATAAAGCAAGAGTATGGAATCTGCTACATTTCAGTGTTAAATTACAGCTTGGGTCAATAGGATCCAACAACATCTGCTGTAAAGGCATACTGCCTACCAGATAGACTCATTATGTACTGGCTTTCATTTCTAGAATGAATCTGCAGACCTGGAACAGAGAAAATATGACAGATGACATATCTTCTGAAAGCTGTGCAATTCTCTTCACATCTCCAGAGGCCACGGGCAGGCCTTCCATTCTTCGCCCATCACAGAAAGAAAATGTGCCACCAAAAGGAATAGTGAAGCCTATGAAGGTACGTCAATCATAGAGTGTGTATACATATATGTGCGCATATATGTCTGTATATTGTGTGTACGTTTCAAGAGATACACTGTTATGTTTGTGTCAGCAAATATGTAACAATGTTTCAAGAGATATGCTGACACTGAGCAGTAGATTAAAGATTCTTCACAGTGAAGAACTGTGTGTTGTGTCTCTGTATTACAGTGGTTACACTGTAGGCATGGGATTGAACAAATCACAGAACTGTCAAAGCGGCACACAACCGAAGCATTTGGATACTTAGCAGCACCCTGATAATGGAAAACAGCTGGATATTGTCCTGTCATGTGGCATACCACTTATTATCCACCTCCCCTCCATAGGTTTTTCCCTTCTATCACTGTTCATCTCACTTTGCAGTAATGTTCCTTTACAGTATTGAGGATATGAAATAAGGCATCTTTTATGGCACCCAGAATAAGTAATTCCCTGCCCTGAGAGATTTAACTGATTCCCACTTTGCTAATTTGTCATAGTTTTAACATGTATCCTTTTAGTTTATCTAGAGTTTTAAAAATATTTCTTATTTTACTTATTGGTTCAAGACATAAATTATACTCTGTGTGAATGAATGAATTTATTTTGGCCCAGTGAGTCTATAACAAGCTTTCTCTCCCCAGGTAACTTTTCAAACTCCTATGCGGGATCCCCAGACTCGTAAAATCCTGAGTCCAGATATAAGAATGAGGATGGAAGAGAACTGTGGAGATAATTCAGAGGATCTTGTCTTGCCCACACATGATGTTGTGTGAGTAAAATAGTCTGACAGGATTAAAGAGACTGTAAGATGGTGACTAATTTTCCAAAAAGCATTGAGGCTGTCTTGCAGCTGTCTTTTCAGGAACAGATGGCTTGCTCTCTTTGAACATTACAGTTGGAATTTAGACAGGTGTCTCTTCTATCCCTCCAAAGTTACAAGCAGTAACCATTCCACCTCAGAATGAGTGCCATGATACTGTAGACTCTCTGACCTAAGGTCTGTAAAGGATGGTTGTATTAGCCCACAACATTTTAGACAACTACAGTGGTGCCTCGCTTAACGGCCATAATCCATTCCAGAAAAATGGCCTTAAGCGAAAACATCATAAAGCGGAAAAAACGCATTGAAACCCCTTCAATGCATTCCAATGGGGTCAAAACTCACCGTCCAGCGAAGATCCTCCATAGGGCAGCCGTTTTTGCTGCCTGTCTTGCAAGGAGTCCGTCCCAGAAAACAACGGGGAACCATTTTGTTTACCTGGTGGCCATTTTGAAACCGCCAATCAGCTGTTTTGAAATTGTCGTTTTGCGAAGAATCGGTTCCTGAAGCAGGGAACCGATTGTTGCAAAGCGAAAAAACCCCATTTAGACCATTGTTTTGCTATCACAATTGCGATCGCAAAAAGATTGTCGTAATGCAGTTTTGTCATAATGCGGGGCAATTGTAAAACGAGGCTCCACTGTACACTGTTTTTTGTCATCCTAGGCACCAACAGGCAGTATTGTTTTAATGCTTACAGTTGGTTCTCTCTGTTGGCAGAAGCAAAAACTGCCCTTTTTAGCCTGGTTGTAGCTGAAATTCCTTTCTCAGATGCCATTGATACTTATTGTTATAAAGTGATTTGACTTCCACCCTTTGTAGAGTGGGGAGGTTTTCAGCATGAGAACCATATTTAGTTTTAGGGAAGTTCTTGGGAGCCCGTATTTGAGTCATCAGCAAGGCAAAAGTGTGGGACCAAAAATACTAGTATATCTTAGCTTAAAACTCTTAAGCTTTTGTCATGGCCATCTGGGACCACAGATCATATCTGGCCTGGAGGTTCCCTGACTTTGATTTTGAGGCATCTGGAATCACTGATTTTCTCAGGCCTATAATCATACAATTGGTGGTCTCTGACATCAAGAAAGGCTTACCTAGTGCCAATATGGGATTTGTTTTCAGTGCCAGATGAGCATCTATTCTTTTTCCAGGTGTTTAGAGATGATTTAAAGACCTTCAGTAGCTTCAACTCTATTCGGTCAATACTTTGAGCACTATTTGTAGGAGTGGGGTGATAATATGGTTGTTGTTTTTCTGTCTTTATTTTGAGGGAGTTTGGTTTATGGTTTTTTATTCCTACTGTCAAGACAATATAAGCTGTGGCTAACACCGTAGCATGTAAAAGGCATAAATATATATAATAAGTAGGTGTAGAATCACTGTTACATATAGACTGCTCAATGCTGATTAAACAGCTCAACGAGTTGGGTACCTGGCGGTGGAGCCAAAGGTTGAGATTGATTCCACAATGTGCCTCCTGGAAAACAGTAAAAGTGTAGCATTGGGCACATTACACTAATCCTAGAGCAGCCACAGAAGAAGGCAATGATAAACCACTTTTGAGTACTCTATACCTAGAAAAGTGTTGTCTTAAATCAAAATTGATTTAACCTTAATCAATCAATCAATCAATCAACAGTCCTTACTGGAAAGTAAGTTCCATTTGGCTTGATTCCAGAAATTATACCTAGAACTAAAGTTTAACCATGCCATTAAAGGAAACTTGCATGGATCTCAAGGCCATCTAATGCTCTTTGACAACAATATGTTGATAGTGTGTTGTGGATGTTCTGATTCATAAATCATGGGCCTTGTTGACCTTTTGGCCCTTGATCCTTTCTGAGATTATTTGGTTTGAGTCCCAGGTATTTTTCTTGTGCTTCAAACGAGTGGATTTTCTAACCAGTGATTACTCTGTCTTTTAACAGGAGGCAACAAAAAATTACAGCAGAAGCAGATGCAATAAAAGAGGAGACAGAAACAAAACAAAAGATCAGTTCTGATTCTCCAGATGGTGGGCCAGAAAAAAGCAAAGGAGCACACACACCTGACTTGCCTACTGTAAATGATGCAGATTTATTCAAGAGCTCTAGTGATCGTCCAAATGCTCCAAAACCTCAAGAAATGTCTCCTTCAAGAGTTTTCACTGGAGCAGATATTAGTATTAATGCTCTTTCACTTGATGCAGATTTCATGTCTCAAACAGCTATTGAAGACATTCCATCTGAGGAAACAGGCTGCAGAACAGAGTGCTCTTTCTCCTCAGAGTCACTGCAGGATGTCTATTTCACAACACAAATTGTTAGTTCTGATCAAGCTATAAAGCTGGCTTCTGACAGAGTTTGCAAAACTGCACCTTTGTCTATGTCAAACACAGAAAATCCTTCCTTGCCACATGTATTAGAATCTTATAACTTTGAGAATCTCAGCTATGGTGAAATAAAAGTGAGGGATGATGAGAAGCACAATACAGGAACAGAGGAAGATTCTGTGCTCAAATCATCTTATAACTTTGATTATGATAAGTTTGATCCTAACGTCAACCCATTTGAAGGTGGTTCCAAAATACAGAATCCTAGACATGATGGGCTCAGCATTGAGAAGTCAAATACCCAAGAGGAAACTTCTTTCTCCAAAGCAGATTCTGTCCAAATACAGCAATGCATCCTACTAGATGAATTGAAGGCTGTAGAAACAACAACTGAAATACTGTAAGTATTCTCCAATTGCTAGTCTGTTTTAGAGATACACTTTAAAAATTATGCTGGAAGGTTGTTTGGAAGTGACAAGTACACTGTGACGCTGATAACCAGATCAGCACTCTAATAGTGGGGAAGATATTTTTTTTCCCAAGTAAAAGAAAAGATTTGTCATGTTAGCACGGGCAAATGAGAGTAGCTGGGAAAACAGGAATGTAAAACTTACAAATAAATAAGAATACTCAAACGGTTTTCATAAAACAGTGTTTGGCAGTACAGACAAACCTGCATGGGTAGATTGATTAACATTTATAGAAGTTAAAAGCCCTTGCTGTTCAGGACAAGGGAAACAAAATTAAATCCCTTGTTGATGTCTTGTTCAGCGTTCCCTTTTGAATTTTTCTGTGAAGTCCAGAAATGGCCACATGGAGCTTAGAGGCAGTGTTTTGGAGGATGTTGTCCCATTGGTTTCTGAGCATTATAGTTTTGAATGTCAGATTTCTGCTCATTATTTTTTTTTACATAAAGGTAAAGGTCCCCCTTGACAATTTGTCCAGTCATGCTCAACTCTAGCACACGGTGCTCATCTCCGTTTCCAACCCATAGAGCTAGTGTTTGTCCGAAGACAATCTTATGTGGTCATGTGGCCAGCTTGCCTAGACATGGAACACCGTTACCTTCCCACCGTGGTGGTACCTATTTATCTACTTGCATTTTGCATGCTTTTGAACCACTAGGTTGGCAGGAGCTGGGACAAGCAACAGGAGCTCACTCAGTCGCGTGGATTCGATCTTACAACTGCAGGTCTTCTGACCTTGCAGCACAGAGTATCATTTTAAATATCCTTTTAGATCACCACGTCCCTTTTTTTAAACATAGGGACTGCATAATTCTCTTGCATAAAATGCCGTCAAAATGGCTTGATAGGGAGAAGGTAAACATCTCACTACATATGTTAATCAGTCCATCTGTTCAGATTTGTCATTATTGTCATTACTATTACATATTTTTGATCACTGTTTAAATATATTTCTTTCTGAAATCCCTGCAGTCCTTTTCCCACAAGCTCCTCCAATTTCCTATATCAACTTTCTTTACTTTTTTCTCTGCTTAGCTTAGATAGTTATTAATATTTTATGACTGCATGGTTGTACTTGTCACCCACCAATGGCCTTTCAAACATTTTCAGCAGTCCCCTTAGTGACCATGAGAACATCACCATGGTGGGCTTTTTGCATTTCACTTCTCCCCATGTCTGTATATATCTATGTCTCCTGATACTATTATTCCACGCATCTGAAGAAGTGAACACTTATACCAAATAAAACTTGTTATCAATGTTCCTTCTAAGCTGTGTGTGTATGCATGCACGCAGAGTTCCATCAAGGCTGTGCACCAGCAGCTGGAGTTAGTGCCCATTTCGTTCTGGTTTTGGCTGGAACCCGCATGTGTGCACAGAAATTAGAGGGACTGTTGCTTGTTTAAGATGCTGGAAGATTTTGCTGTAGTTACTATAACTGAATGTGGAGATTTGAGATTCAGACATATAATAATGCATATTCATGAAAAATATCATTTTAAATATCCTTTTAGAAACCTTGACTTAATCTAAAGTTGTAGAATGGATAATGGAAAACTGGGTAGGGGAAAATACTAGAATTCTTTGTCCTAATAAATTAGTCCTTTTAAGTTGCATGAAATACTGAGTGGCTATTGACTGCTTAATAGAGATGGAGGTATTCATATATGAATACAAATATCCCCCCCACAGGAGGAGATAACGAGGGGCTGGCCCCATGGGGCCGAACGGTCCACTCACGATTCCGCCACTGCTATTGGCTCCATGGAGCCTTCTTATCTCTCCCTTGCTCGCAATGGTTTAGCCACTCTGTGACCTGACAGAGAGGCTTGTCATCCCGCCTTCTGCCAGGAGTGGCTAATCTATCATGAGCAACGGAGCAATAGGAAGGCTCCATGGAGCCAGTGGGAGAATCGTGATTGGTCAGTTTGGCCCCAGGGGGGCTGTGCCCTCATTATCTGCACCTCTGGAGGAAATTTGTATACAAATACCCCCATTTCTATTACTTAATACATGGATTTCACCCAGTCCTTTAAAGAAGAAAGTTTCATAAAGGTCTGCAGTGATTTATAACAGTAGTTAAAATATATTGGTTTAAAAAGTCGTTCCTTTTTTAAACAAATACTCTCTAAAAAACCTGCATGTGGAGGATGAAGGGAAACTGGAAAGTACAAAAATGCATTATAAAGTGCTTTAAATCAAGTGTCATTTGCTTTCTACATCAGCATCTTGGTTCCCACAGGAAAGAAATTGAGAAGCAGAATGTAACTGAAGGTCAAGAAGAGCAAACTGTGGCTCAAGCAGAAACTCATGCAGAATCTTCACAGGAATTCATGGTATTGTATATAGTCCCCTATATTAAGGGTCAAGTATTCTCTGCCAAAACGTATACTAGCAAAACATATATTTACTGTGCCAAGAGTTTTATAATCTACATGCTTTATACATAGATCAAGCTGCTGCACAGGCAGGAAGGCCCCATCCTATCCAGGCATAGATGTCATTTTTCAGACGCTTTTGAGACAATGCTTTGTTAAACTCTGGAACTTGTTTTTTCCTTAATGGAAAAACAAGTTCTATCCTGTGCAGAATATCACAGTCTTTGCTTCAGGAATAAACACTCTAGTCTTACCAGAGCATCAGTTTTTCCAATAAACTGTCCATTTCCGTTATTCAGATACCAAAAGCTTTTTCTTTTCTTCTTCCTTTATCTTTTTATTTTCTCTCTCTGTGTGTGAAGTGCCACTAGATGTCAAAACAATCCTGGTGTAAGTGTAAAATGGATAATCTTAGGAAAATCTTTAGAAACAGTGTTTATTCTGTGTAAGTACTAGAAATGCTGTTCTGCTACAATGCCATCCTGAACATGTCAATCTTATGTGGTTGGAAGAGCAAATTTGATTAGTACTTTATCTGGCGATCACCAGAAAATATCGGGGCTTCATGATCTCTGTGAGTCACAAACTTGGGTTAGTCAGTGTGCATGCACAAAGCCTTGGAACATTCTAAAGTTTAGAAACAGAAAATTTTAGTTGCCTCCCCTTCCCAGTGCACATGTATTGACGTGAAGGAGCCCAACCCTCTCAGTTCCTTTCAGCCGCCTCCATGTTAGCTTCTAGGGATGGTTCTACAGCAAAGCTTAGTTTGTTCTACATGTTCCCACCTTCCTTGTCCCCCTTTTTTCCCTTCCCCCTTTTTCCCCAGAAGTTTCTCCATGTTCGTTATTATTTTATAGTCCCAGGGCTGTTTTCAGAGGTGCACTCTCTGTGGAAATAAAATTCCACTCTCATACTGCCAGGCTGTATGCTTTTATTATCTAAGTTTAACCTTGCATCCATTTCCGCAACCTTTGCAGTCCAGCAATTTAAAATAGACGTTTCTCTCTGAACACCTTTTTGTGGGAAAAGTCCCTTAGACCTCCCTCATCTACCTGGGAATCCCCCATTGCCTCTCCAGATGTCAACAGAGCCTTCTTCTCCGATTGAGGATTTGCCCCGAAGAAACCCCAGAAAGAACTTTAGGATCCGACTAAGCATAAAGATCATTCTGCGGCTGTCCAGCAACCAATGGCCTTGACTTCAGCTCCAACATCCAAGCCCAGTCTGTACCTGACTTGACCAACAGAAAGGGGAAAATGTCTTCCCGCCCCCATCAAAGATACTGAAGTAGCCAAAAAATAAGGCTGACAAACTCAAGCCTGACAGGACTCAGCCCCAACAGGTTGCCACTCCACTCTGACCTGTGCCTGGGTCAACTTCCCCTTTCCATCCAGAGACCTGCCTTGTGGACAATGTTTGAGCGCTCCCCCCTCAGTTCTGTGGCTCTCTGTTCCTTCACCTGCCTTCAGTGCCTCTGAGGATTAACTTTAGTCCCTTCCTGATCCCTTGGTGGTTTTTCTCTTCAGTGGTCTTGTTCCATGATGCTGGAGTGTCAGCAGTCTCAATGTCTTCCTCGCAGTGTTTGAAGTCAAAGCCCCTAGAGGATTTCTTGCAAGCATCGACATCTATCCTCACAGTCACCAGGTGTTGGTTTACCTGCTATAGCCCCGCCATAAGCCCGTCAGATTTCAGACCCTGTGCAACCTCAGGCAGCTGTGATCTCTTTGGTTCTGGCTTCTGCACTGCCATGAGTCTCTTCAGTACTGTCGAGTTCCACAGATTTATCAATGCTGCAGCAGCCACCCTATCGCCTTTCAGCCCTTCCTGAACCTACTGACTCAATTCTTCTCAACCCCATAACCTATCTCCTTCCATACTGAGCAGACCCCACAGTTTATGGGGGGCTCATGGTTTTCCTGATGCAGTATTTTCACACTCTGGCTCCATCTGTGCAGCCATCAGTCCTGGGCCATGCTCCCATCACTGGAACCAACAATTCTGAGCCAGACGGTGTTATCCTTGGCTCTGCAGACTCCAGTCTCTCTGGTGATGGCTATGACTGTTTCCAGCCAGTTCTGGGGCTCTGAAAGACTTTGCTCCATCAGTATTCTCTGCCTGCTCAGACTCTGACAATGCTCCATCAGCTTCAACATCTATGGTCACCCCAGGGAGTCAGTTGCACCCTTTGGCTTCGAGCAATCTGGCTTCTCCAAACTCTGGTCCTGAGGCATCACTGCAAGCGCTGGCACCAGTCTTCATCTTTTCCACCACTGCAGAAGCATGCCTGCTATTTCAGCCTTTTCTATCAGCTTCTTTCGCCCCTCACACTGATATGAGCCGTGACACTGATTATCAGCATTGAGCAGCCTTGATTTTGACACAGCATGTGCCTCCTTTGTCTTCAATGGCCTCTACTTCTCAGGGCCCTCATAAGCTAGAACCTCTTCTCAGTCTCTCACCACCATTTTCGGAATTGTCATCAGATTCAGTCTACAACTCTGATGTCCCTTTGTGCCTTAATACCGTCACTGAGTCTGATGTGGGAGATCCCCAACCACCCTCCCCATCTGAGGACATGAGAAAGTACTCTGACCTGGTGTTTCACTTAACTAAATCTGAACCTGGAGGTGCACAAGCCTGTTCAACATTCCAATCATTGTATGATCAAATCTCTGATTTTGCCACATCAGTTCACTTTGCAATGATCCCTTTGCTGCTCAGATAGCAAAGGATTCTTGGAAAGGACATTCAGCATGCTCACCCACTTCCTGACAGGTGGATCACTTCAATTGGATTAATGATGAGGGTGCAGCATTCTTGCTCATGTACCCCCAACCCAAGTTTAGAGTTGAGGATGCACAAACGAAATCTAGAGGATGTCGGGTCCATGTTCCTCAGAATAAAGAGGGATCAAACTTGACAACTTTGACAGACGTCTTTAGTCCACTGTCTCTCTTTCCATGAGGACTGTCAACTACCAGGTGCTATGGGCGCATGTTCGCGATTCCTCTGGAACAAAGTAGAGCCCAGCCTTCAAGCTTTGCCTGATGACAGCTGCAATGTTGTTACAGTTGGCTATGAGGAGGTGAGCTGTAACATTTGTTTTTGCACAACAAATGAGGTCATCCCGCCATGCCACCGACTGCTCAGCCAAGGCAGTGACTACAGCTGTATCTATTAGATGCCATGGCTGGTTATGCTCTGCTGGTCTTGCAGATGATGTTTGTGCAATAATCAAAGATCTCTCCTTTGATGGAGAACACCTTTTCATTACTAAAACATGATATTAGGGAGGATCTACAAAAGAAACACAATGCAGCTATGTATCCTTGCCCTCATTAATACCAACACACTTACTGACAGCCCTGAAGAAAGTTGCCATCCATAGCCGCCTCTAAACCTTCTCAAAAGCGCCAGAGATCATTTCCTTCCTCATTAACCTACTGCTCCTCTCAGAGGTCTAGGTGCCAAAAATACAGGCAGATCCCAACTGCTAAATGCCAGGAACAAAAGACCAAACAGAGCCTTTGACTCTCTTTATCCACCCCCATCTCTTCAGCAGTTCCACCTACTTCAGTCTCCAGACCTGCCCCTACTGCTAGCACCCTTTCTTTCAGCTTGGCACATCATCACCACTGATGTGGTGATACGCTGGACACGCTATCGAGGTCCCCACCCCGGGACATGCACACTGATTAACTTGTGTAAGTGACTTCATGGATGACCACTCAAAGAACCACGATTACAGGTAAGTAACCCACCTGTCTTCAAGTAGGGTTAGGGAAAAAATCTAAGGGAAATTTGAGGGACCCACTCACAGATTTCATAATATTAGGCTTTATGGATGGACTAAAGTTTCCTGTGTTCTAAGAAAACATCTCTCTTGTGAAACAAGATAAATAATAGTATTGCCCCTGATGTTTAGTAGTTGTCTTATTCTTTAAGAATATTCTTATTCTTAAGGGGACGTGGTGGCGCTGCGGGCTAAACCGCAGAAGCCTGTGCTGCAGGGTCAGAAGACCAAGCAGTCGTAAGATTGAATCCACGTGACGGAGTGAGTGCCTGTCGCTTGACCCAGGTCCCGCCAACCTAGCGGTTCGAAAGCATGCAAATGCAAGTAGATAAATAGGGACCACCTCGGTGGAAAGGTAACAGCGTTCCGTGTCTAAGTCGCGCTGGCCATGTGACCACTGAAGATTGTCTTTGGACAAAACGCTGACTCTATGGCTTGGAAACGGGGATGAGCATCGCCCCCTAGAGTCGAACACGACTGGACAAAAAAAAATTGTCAAGGGGAACCTTTACCTTTACCTTCTACCTTTCTTATTCTTTAAAGGTAAAGGTTCCCCTTGACAATTTGTCCAGTCGTGTCCAACTGTAGGGGATGGTGCTCATCTCCATTTCCAACCCATAGAGCTAGCGTTTTGTCTGAAGACAATCTTCTGTGGTCACGTGGCCAGCGCGACTAGACACGGAACGCCATTACGTTCCCACCATGGTGGTACCTATTTACTGGTATTTTGCATTTTGCATGCTTTTGAACTGTTAGGTTGGCGGGAGATTGGACAAGCGACAGGGGCTCACTCTGCTGCGTGGATTCAATCTTACGACTGCAGGTCTTCTGACCTTGCAGAACAGAGGCTTCAACATAATTAAGTCTGCTACACAACTATTTGACTCTTTTTCTGCACACAATACTCACAGTTATTTTGTGAGATAAGTCACAGTGAGAGTAATTGGCCCAAAGTCATCAAGTGAGTTTCACAGCTTCCATGCTCAAGCCAAGCAGTATCACAACTGCTCGGTAAGATGAAGTGGAACAGTTTCAGCCACATGTGCAATTAATGTCTACCATACTGTTCCACTTTAATGAACATTTTTTTCAAACTTTTCTCTGCTTCCTAGGTGGCTAAAAGTACCTTACCTTCTGAGACCTCAGGTCCAGATAATTCAAATGGGCAGTTGCTTGTAGATGACTTGGATCTCATATCCTCCAGTAAGACTGAAATGGCAGTGAATGAAAGCAGCCAGGTGGATACAGAAAATGAAGAGTTCAGACCACCATTAGATGGTAAGGGAAAGATACTGTAGATGATTTGAGTAAGATTTCTTCTATTCATGTGAAGCTAGTTGAAGAGAAACACTGTTGTGACTGTTCCTAATGTCCTGGTCTGACTGGAAGATATATTGCTATTATCTTCAAAGGTAGCATTGGGTAAACCACATTGTTTAAGACCTAGTCTACCCTATGAAACTATCCCATTAACTAAATGTAGATTTTCAGACTTCTTCATTGTGATCCCTGGTCTATATAGGCCACAACCTCCCTCTACACCTGCTTTATCTTATAAATTTTATTAATATTGTTTGTCATGCACTGCCTAACCTATAAAACTGATGGCAGTAATTTTGCACATGTTGAGGAAGGAGAAAGTCTCTGTTTCTAAACAAAGGTAACAGGTACATGTAGAAATCTGGCTGCTTTTGGCTTTGACTTTACCTCTCTATAACTTTAGCCATATGCATTGCTGGAATGTGAATCCTGACAGATTTTGCCCAAGGTAGAGCAGACATCAGCAGGTTCACTCATCTTCACCTAAATGAGTGTTTATTATACAATATTTTGTCTAACACTCTCTTAACTGAGGAATAGTAGAACTAATAATTCATCCCAGTCATTCACAAAGAGCAGTATATTTCCTTGTCCGTGAAATCAGTTTAATCAAAATTTAACCTTATGAAGAACTTAAGGCTGCCTAATGTCTCAGTAAACATAAATTGCAAGGAGATGCCTCTGTAACTTAAGTCCAGAAAGGATAACACCACGTTTTGGAGACACTTTACTGCTAATTTACTATAGAAATTTGTTTCTGCATTCAATATTCTTTCTAGTTTTAGGAATTGACATAGAAGTAGACTACCTGGAGCAATTTGGAATGTCCTCAGTAAGTAACCTAAAACATGAATCAAATGTAGTATTTTATAGCTTGAACCACTGCAAAATAGCCTGTAAAAGGAAGTAAAACTGATTCAGCTATTGAAAGAACATGCCATTATTACCTATCCTGCCTCCTTTGCTTTGCAGTATGCCACATGCTGCAAAAAGCAATCACGTATGTATGTGGAACCTAAAACGTTTTAATTCTGTGGGCAAACAAATTGTATGGTGGAGTTTTACATGACATTAGTATGACCTGAAGCAGGTAATTATTATATTATGTGACTTTTGTCTTTGTGGTTTCTGTGACTCACATACCTGGGTTTTGTGCCTACATGAAGTGTCTGCAGATTGTTCCAGAACCCAGTAGCTTTTAAGTTGGGCCTCACCCCCATCAAACAACACAATTCAACAGGCCTAACCTTGTTCTCAAAATTATTATATAGAAACATGTATGTTCTGATCAATGGATAAAAAGCTGAAAATAATGAAGATCTGGCTTTTGTCTTATGTTTAGTGTGTCATATTTTGTATGATGTATGTGTATTTTAAAGCTTTTCCATTAACCAGCTGGTTGAACTACAATATTTTGATTAAAAGGAAAAAATCATTATGCAGTTTGTGATTTAAATGTGATATAGAAATTCAAAATGTTAGGAGTTATTCTTATTGAAATACGGTAGGACCCCTGTATCCGCAGGAACAGTATCCATCATTTCATTTATCTGAGGTCTAAAAATATTAATAGAAAAAAACCCAGAAAAAAACTGTTCTCACATGTATTACCAGAACCAACCACTAGAGGGAGCTAGAGACCATGTTGTGAACATTTGTTGGTGAAGACCATATACTGACCCTCTACTGGCCAGTTTCAGTAATGCATGTGAAAATATTTATTTTCCCTTTTACCATGCATGTATAGGATTTGATATTATTCACAGTTTCCAGTATCTGCAGGGGGCTTGGAACCAATCCCCAGTGGATACGGGGTGGGGTGGGGTGTCATCTTGCACTTCTCTAAGACATAACGCCTTAAGCAGTACATGCTTATCATTTAGATTTTAATGAAAAAATCAGAACCATTGGAAACTGTTGATGTACTAATACATGCTTTTGTTGAATAGTCACCTGAAAAGTTTTGATTTTAGATTTGACTGACATTCGCCCACTATCCAAGCATGTATTCTTCATTTGGAGACTATGTATACTTTTGTAATAATGGCTTCTAGCCAGATAGCCCCAGCTTGAGTCCAGCAAGTGAACAAACCCCTCATGGTAGGAAAAAAAATCTAATTTTATATATTTCTAAATCTTTTCCCATAGTTTAAGGACTCTGTTCTGAGAAAACAATCTCTTTACTTGAAGTTTGACCCTTTGCTGAGTGAAAGTCCTAAGAAAAGCGGTCCCAGCACCAATAAAGCAATGCCTGTAATTCCTACACTTTTTCAAAATGGGTAAGTGTGAGCTTGTTGTGCTAATCAGTTTCAAAGTCTATACAGAATTGTTTCAATACAGTTTCTGTTTTTTAAGCAGACCATCCACAATAGTGGTTTCTGATGAAGTAAAAACATCTGACCATGAAGAAAAACCACTGGGTCTGGATCTTCTTGGAACCTTCCCAGATATGGTAAGTGACACATATCTCCAACACTCCTTTGCAAATCTTGGTTGTCTGTAGTTCTTAAAACAGGCAAATTGGCCTGGTTCAGCAATAAGAGAGAATTGTGGTTCCCCACAATTCTGCCACACACACCCCACTTCATACAGCAGAGGAGAACAGAAGTATTTGATTTTAAATTTAGTGTCAGAACCATTCTGAAATTGGGACATGATATGGCTTGTCCAGAACCGATGCCTGGGTATATGTTTAGTACTGTATTTGTTAGGCAAATGAGCTATGAAGTATTGCAAGCAAACATGCATTATATTTCTTTCCACAGGCCAAAGTCCTTCCAGACATCCCAACCAGTAGTGACAATTCATTGTTTTCTTGTGCTACATCCACTGAGAATATTATAGACATGCTGAAATATAGTCAGAAAGACATGGATGATGCTGTAGAAAAAGCTAAGCAAGAGATGGATGCTGTTGTTAAAAAACTTAGTTCTGAGGTAAGAACTTGGGAAGGGACAGGCAATTTGAGACAATTCTGCATCTCCAGTCTGCGTCTCCCATTGGAAAGAATGATTTTTAAAATGTTAATCCAACTGTCCCTATTCTGTTCTGTTCTTTGTAATGAAAGATCTTGAGCGTATTCATTTCACACTGCTTCCATAAGAATCACCACCAATTCTTTATTTGATAACTTTTCATTTCCTCCAATTAATAATAATAAGGTTGCATTTGGCATAATTTTTTTAATTTGCTACTTTTTCTAGCCAGTAGGTTACTTCATACCAGAATGCTTCTACCTTCAGACAAGCTATCCTCCTATGCTCTAGTGTTCCTTTATACCCACATTTCGACCAGCACAATCACGGTATCTCTATTCTTTATAGTTTTGTAGGACATAGGTGCCGCCTATGCACAACTTTTAACATCATCTCTTTAGATTTTGCTGATACCAATTTGTACGATTGGGTGATTCATATTTTTGTACAATTGTTCTTTGGTATGTTGATATTTAAATTTGTTTTCAAACCGTCTTAAGTCCCATGCTGCTACCATATTCTTTATCAACAGTGCTTTTGTAACTTATTCCTTTTCCCTTTTTATTATTCGTTTCTATACAGTGATTTTTTAAGCTCTCTTAGTGGTCTGTTAGGTCCTGAGGTCTTATACAGTTGAGTTGTGTAATTTCTTATCTGAAATAATTGGAACCAAATAATTGCTATTTGTGTAATTTTTTTTCTTGTAACTGTCTAATCGAAATTGGTTTTCTTTGTTGTGAATGGGTTCGGTTTCAACTTTTGACAACTCCTCACTTTGCACGAGAAATATCACAGGAGACGTCTTCTTAACTTCAACAACTTCTTTATTAGTAACCGGCAAATCAGCATTATTCATGATGGGATCAAAAAATCTTAATTCAGGCAACATGCCATAACTGTCAAACACACACTCCTGACCACCATCCGTTGAACTCATAGGGTGCTGGGCCAAACCTCTCCACATCTGTTGGCTTCCGAAGGAGCGCACTCCGCACTGCGCAGATGGTGCCGCAGCATGGGTGTCGAGCCCAGTACCCTTCCGGAGGAGGAGTATTATATTGTGAATCTGGTCTCATCATTTGCTGCCCTCGCCCTTTATTCTTTGGGAAGACTGAGCACTCTAACGTCTCATACTTCACCTCTCCTCCTTCTTTCGGTACAGGATCCAGTAACAGCCCACCTAGCTTCATATTAGGGAAGTCTCTCAGTAATTCCTGGGCAATAAATAACCTACAATGGTTACTCATTATATAGGCGCATGCATAGATTCCACACAAGTTCGCACCTTTCTTCCTTCAGACAAGAGAGTAAATCTCATCACATTACTTTAAGTTTTCACCCCTCATGCTATGCTACCTGCCTTGACTGTGCAATGTGTACTAAGCACCATGGCCTCTATGACTTCAGTAGTGCAGCACATACGTCTCAAGATCAGATCTCTTCAGTCGTGGTTTCTCACCCTCTTCGAAATGCTCACAGACTCTCCTCACACTCTTTTAAGGGTAACCCCAGAACCTTGCTGCCAAAGATTCTTATCAGCCCCCTAACTCTCTGGCAGCTGATTTCTTCAAACATCCAACATTGAAAAGTTTTCTTAAGGGGCTATCTCATATCTACCCAGATACCCACCCACCTTCCCTGCAATGGTCACTAACACTAGTACTGCAACCACTTACTAAAGCTCCTTTCAAATCTTCAGCTTCAGCTGATTTACAGCTAATTACCTTTAAAAGGGTTTTCCTCATTGCTGTCACCTCAGCTCGACGAGCTAGTTAGTTAGCGGCCTTACGGCACAACTATCCTTATTTACAGTTTTTTTCCGGACAAAGTCAAACAATCCATGGATATTTCTTTCCTCCCCAAAGTTATAACTCAATTCCATCTCTCTCAGCCGATTATCCATCCTTTCCGTCACCGTCCACAACTCAAGAATCCTCCATACTTTAGACTTTAGGCGAGCCCTTGCCATAGTGCTCCAATGCACCAACCTTTCAGGCATTCATCTCGACTTTTCATAAGTCACCAACCACCTACTAAAAGTTGCCAGGTGACATCTCAAACTACAGTGGTGCCTTGCAAGATGAACACCTTGTGGGACAAAAAAATCGCAAGACGAATGGGCTGTCTTGCAATATTTTTCGTCTTGCGAGGCGGGTTTCCCATAGAAATGCATTGAAATTTAATTAATGTGTTCCTATGGGGGAGAAAGTCAGAAAAAGTCACTTACCTGGTAGTAAGACCGAGTAGACCGAGCCCCGCTCCTCCTTGGCAGCCCCTTTAACAGGTTTTCCAAGATAACTACTAAATTAAATAATCAGTTGCCAAAACATAACTAAAATTGTGAAAACTTTGATCTGCTGCACTCCTCCCCCATAGTCTTCAGTGTTACAAAGCTGCTCCGAAAGCAATGGAATATCAGTCCAAAGAGCAGTTGGTGAGAAACCATTCAAAAGTGTAGTCTTAAAAAAGAGAGAGCCTGAGCAAAAACAATTGACAATGGGCCTCATACACAACAATCATCCTTCTCACATGCTGTAGTTATCCTCAAGGAATAGTTATGTAAATCCAAGGGCTTTTCTATTTTTCCTTAACTCTGGTCCATAAGTATTAATTCTTTCTTGGGAATCTTCTGGCTTTAGGTAAAGGAAAAGCAGCAGGAAGCTTTGGAATGGAAAATGAAGTATGAGAAAATGTATATTGAAAATAAAGAAATGGGGTAAGTACAACTACATTCCTTCAGACGTGGTCTGTTACTGCTTTCTCAAAGGAATAAATGAGAGTAAACATGGTGACCTGTTTTGGTCTCCATTCCGATTCAGTTCCACCCTGATGAGCAACTAACAGTTGGTAAAAGACAATAGGTGTTTGAACCCGTTAGACTGCTAAATAATTTAGGTAACATTGAGTATGTTGTCCTTATAGATATAATTTTGGTTAAGTGTTGGAATAGTGGTGTGTTCCTATTCTGGTCCCACTGGAATAATAGTGGGCTGGTATTCATAGTCTAGGATTTCTCTCCTGCTTCGAGTGGTACTTAAGTTCTTAATGTTGGCTTGAAACTGCAGGGAGGTGAAAGTCTTGGTAAACTGGAATAAAGTGTCATAACACCAGTTGGATGACAGTTGGCTCTTGTCTTTTAATCACATTTAGATGAATAAATATGAATTAATGTCTGGCTCGGGCTGGGTGCCTGCCAATAAGTTGAAGCTCAGTCAGAACAAGATGAGAGGGAAATCTGTTGATGGGGAAAGGTGTCATAGAAATGATTTCATAAAATATCCTTTGTAATTAATTTTGAATGACTTATGTTAATACATTGGTGCCCTGCATAGCGACGATAATCCATGCAGCAAAAATCGTCACTATACGGATTCATCGCTATGCGAAAAAAAGCCCATAGGAATGCATCAAACCCCATTTAATGTGTTCCTATGGGCAAAAAACTCAAAGCGAAAATCCTCCATACGGCCGCCATTTTCGCTGCCCGGTATGCGAGGAATCGTCGCGAAAACACAGCGGGTGGCCGTTTTTTTTACCCGACAGCCATTTTGGAACTGCCGATCAGCTGTTCTAAAAACATCGCTAGTTGTTAAGTCGTGTCTGACTCTTCGTGACCCCATGGACCAGAGCACGCCAGGCGCTCCTGTCTTCCCCTGCCTCCCGGAGTTGGGTCAAAGTCACGTTGGGAGCTTCGATGACACTGTCCATCCATCTCGTCCTCTGTCATCCCCTTCTCCTCTTGCCTTCACACTTTCTCAGCATCAGGGTCTTTTCCAGGGAGTCTTCTCTTCTCACGAGATGGCCAAAGTACTGGAGCCTCAGTTTCAGGATCTGTCCTTCCAGTGAACACTCAGGATTGATTTCCTTAAGAATGGAGGGGTTTGTTCTCGTTGCAATCCAGGGGACTCTCAAGAGCCTCCTCCAGCACCACAGTTCAAAAGCATCAATTCTTCAGTGGTCAGTCTTCTTTATGGTCCAGCTCTCACTTCCATACATCGCTACTGGGAAAACCATAGCTTTGACTATTCGGACCTTTGTCGGCAAGTCCGAATATCCCCTACCAACACCTAAACTGATGAGGACAGGAAATGCAAGCCTCCAAATGCTGATGGGACAATCACCCTATGCAGGATGTTTTTCCATCTTCGAGCATGAAGGCTGCTCAAGCAAAACTAATATTTTAAATTCACTAGTGTGAAGAATTAAGACCATTTTACTAGTATGAATTTCTACTAATTTTCTGGCTTTGTGTATATAAATAAGATACTTATTTTTTCACTTTAGAAAAATTGTTGCAGAATTTGAGGGCACCATAACACAAGTGATGGGTAAGTGCAGATTGTAAATGCATATAATATTTGTAAATGTATGACTGCCTTTGATAGTGGGCATTGAATATCCATATCAGAAATGTACAGTACATGCTAGGCTTTGTATATTGTTTGCTTTTGCTACCTTGAGCTCCTTGGGAGAAAGGCGGAGTGTAAATGTAACAAGCTTAGAACTGCTAACTCATTTTTTTCACTAAACCTTTACCACAGAACCAACCACTTAAGCAGATGCATGTAGTTTATGTAGATGAGGGTTGGAAACTTATGGTTCTCCCGATGATGTTGGACTATAATTCCCTTCATCCTTTGCCTTTGGCCAGTTTTCTTGGTGCTGGTGATAACTGGAACCAAGCAGGAAGGGCTGTTTGTTTTGCACCCCTGCTTCAAGGGAAATACATTCATTTGTGTGCTTCCTTTGCTGTTAAAGAGAGGAAGCTGATTGTTCTGCTTCTAGCTGCTAAAGAGGAGAATGGAATATGGCCAGGTGTTAGAAAACTTAATCCTTTAAATTAGAATTCCCAAATCAGCATTGATTATGCTGGGTGAGAATTTCTGAAGATGTAGTCCAAAAAAGTAGTAATTTCTCTATGCCTTGGTCATGAAATAATGGATCATCAACACTCAATGTTAGCTTGATTCTACTGCATATTTTTATAACACTTGAAAATTTACAATACTGGGTATAACCACTTCTTGACTTTGCATGGGAACTGCCTCCCATATGATGGGTGTGGGGATTGTGAGTTTCTGTGCATATCTCCAGTTTTCTGTCTCTTGGAGCTTGAGAACATAAACTTTATCCATTACACAAATTTATTTTTTTAGAAGATTCCCAGAGCCAAAAGGAGCTTGCGAAGAAGGAATTGCAGAGAGTACTGGATGAGAAACAACAAGTTGTATCTGATCTGGACGCCATGGAAAAATCTTTTTCTGAGCTCTTCAAACGCTTTGAAAAACAGAAGGAGGCAATAGAAGGGTTTCAGAGGGTGAGCATTTTCAGCTCTACTAACCACCTTTAAAAAACACTTAACTGCTCTCCTTTCTACATTTCACCAGATATTCCCCTGAAGCCTTTTACCTCATTTTTTAGCATGAAAACTATCTAAAACAAAGCTTGTGTTACAAATGCTTTTGCTGCTGTAATTGTTGTCTTTTCCACATTTGAGGCATTGGGTATGTATTCATTGTGGTTGGGAACCTTTCTTTTTCTTGCCTCAATCTCTTAAAAAGACCGTATAAAATTAGAACCGCACCATCTGTTTTAGCCAGCAGACATTTAGGGGACAAACCTGCTTTTGAGAGCTGAAAGAGTTTCTGCAACTCTCTAATTTTTGATTGGGGGGAGGGCGTTTATCAGCCTCTGCAGCTGCTATTTCAGGACCATTTTTTCCTTTAGCTTGAATGACTTCAAAGGAAATAGATTTAAGAATTGCAGTGATTTTGTGAAATTGTGTTATAGTGAGAACAGCAATTCTTGAATTGGTCATATTGATTGATTGTTGGTCAGAAGTGCATTGTGTCTCTAAGGCGGCAAGGTGTTTGCAAGCTAGGGGAGAACTTGTGAGGTGATAGACACCATGATAATTCTATTATAATGTTTAGCAAATTCTTTGAAGAGAAAAATAGTGGTTGAAATACCTCTTTTTAAAAAAATGCTGGTTGTCTTGTCACGATAAAGCAGAGCTGGGAATCATGTGGCCTGAGTATGTGTTCCCTTCTCCTCCCATCCCTGGTTTGTATTGCCCTGGATTGTGCCTTCTCAGATGTTGATAAATGTCTTGGCAATATTTTTAGAAACCATATTTGAAAAAAAAAAACATAGTAGATGTAGACCACTCTCTTTCACTCTAGCTGTCCTTCAAAAAAACCATACTGAATGCAGATTTCTGATCACTTCTGACTTCATTTTTAGGTGCTAGTAAATGGCCCACATTGAATCTAGAGGCATGGGAATTAGTTCTTGGCTATACATTTTAGTGAAAGTGCAAATACATAATATTGTGCTCAGAAAAGGACATACAAAAGATTATCTAGGAATTTAAATACAAGGTTATTTACTTCTGAGGGAAATCTAAAGATAGCAACTTCTCACTTTATAGCAGAGGTCCCCAACCCCCGGTCTGTGGCCTGAGCCAGACCAGGCCGCAGAGACAGTCCTCCCCCATATGCACTCTCCCCTTTACAGACTGCGCCTGCATCCACATGAGTGCTTCCCCGCCCCTTCGCGCATGCACATGAGTGCCCCCTGAGTGCTGCGCCAACCTTTGCACATGCGCGTGAGCATGCCTGCATGAGCGCTGTGTCACCCTTTGCACATGCATACAAGTGCAAGTGTGCTCCTGAGCGCATGTGCACAAGCACAGGGGGGTACCCCACCTTCCCCAGCTGGTCTGTGGAGCTAAAAAGGGTGGGGACTGCTGCTTGATAATGTTTTCCCCACCCCACAGTAGTATTACACTAACTATTCCACTTCTGTTTCCTAGAATGAAGAGGCTCTGAAGAAATGTGTTGAAGATTACCTTGCCAGAATTAAGAAGGAAGAGCAGAGATACCAAGCACTAAAGGCACATGCGGAAGAAAAGCTACACCAGTGAGTAATCTTAATATAGGACTCTTGATATATGTAACGTTATAGAGCTTTAAAGAATAGAATAATAGCCTTGGGTTCTTGATTGCACGGAAGGTGGAATAGAAATGAATAAGTAAATTATTTAATGAATGAATAATGGAATATTATCACTCTTTGAGAAGCTAATATATCTGGATGTGTTTTTCTTTTAGAGCAAATGAAGAAATTGCTCAAGTAAGAAGCAAAGCTAAAACAGAAGTAGTGGCACTCCAAGCCACTTTACGCAGGGAACAAATGAAGATCCAATCCCTAGAGAGAAGCATCGAACAAAAGGTGAGTCTAACTCCTTGATGCTGCTTGGACAACATCCTTGTGGTGAGTCAAGTTTACATGGTCCACACCTACAAGCAGAGTACTTGTATTTCAGTTTTTGCTGTCCACTAATTGAATCTCTAGCTTCAAGCCAAGATTGCATGATGATCTCCTGGATCTAGATTTTACAACAAAGGGGCTACTGAGTGGGTCCCACTGAGCTCTGAAATGAATCAAGTGTAGTGCAGTTTGAAAGCCCTGTTAGGTTCCAATTTGATGGCACAAAACACACAGTGTAATTTGAATGTAGGTGTAAAATGGAAATCTGGTACTCTAAACTGACCATTCTCAACCATTTTTTGGACACAATCATAAACACATTATGAAAGAAACAAAGGCCAAATCAAAGTTATTTACAGGCCTTTTCTATGTTGTTCCACTCCTCCATTTCAATATTTCTGTGCTTCAAAATAAAGTGCAACCATGGGAAAAGTCCTGTTTATTCATAAACACGTAATCTAGAATATAAGTTGTTTTCTAAATATAATTTATGTATTTTCTATAACCCACATAACACACCCCTCTTGTTTCTTAACAGGCAAAGGAAAATGATGAACTTACCAAAATCTGTGATGACTTGATTTCTAAGATGGAAAAGATGTGCTAAATCTCTGCATTGTCCCATTTTTCTGTTCTAGTTTTCTTGACATCTTAGGTTCATTAAGAATTATAAATAACTACTAGGCTTCATCTGTACTAGTTAAACTAGTATTGTTGTTTTTCTATAAAATCTTTGACATGTACTGTGGCTGTTTCAGAAAAACAACTGAGGACCTGGCAAAGGCATGTATATCGTTATTTTTGTAAATAAAACTTTTGATGCACTTTGATTTTATAGTTCTAGTTTTTGGACTGTCCTTCCAAGTCTTCAATATGTAAGTTGCTTCCCTCGCCTTTGGGCTTTGGGAATTTTTTTCTCCAGTGTCACCTGTTTGATACAGATATCCATAAGCTGCAAAAGTATTTCTTCCATTTCTGTGTGAAAAGTGTAGAGTTGTTCTTTGTCAACAGACTGCTTTACTTGAACTACTAGATGACTACTGAGTAGGTTTGATACAGATATCCATAAGCTTCAAAAGTATTTCTTCCATTTCTGTGTGGAAAAGTGTAGAGTTGTTCTTTGTACACAGACTGCTTTACTTGAACTACTAGATGACTACTGAGTAGCACTGGAGTGCAATCTTGATAAGTGGGGTATGAGGACATTTAATCTGCTATGTGTTCCACTAGCACTGAGATGCAGAAATTTCCTGAACTGAAAGTGTTCCTTTTGAGCTTACCTTTTTCATTGAACATAAATATTTGTTTTCAGACCATTTTTATCATGGTTTTCATATATCTGTTTGCCAGTAGTTAACTCATAGCCTCTAAAAAAGGTTGCCTGGGCCATTTTCATTAACACATACCTAGCCTGTTTGGCTTAGTCAGAAATGAACTGGAATATCTGTCGCAGTCATTATCCTGATTTGATTATTCAGCTCCTCTGTAAGTTCCATTGATTCATTGAGCTTATGCTAATGATTTACTATTGGATTTCAGCCATTATGTTATATAATGGCTTTTTCCAATGTAAACTTTTCTCTTTGTGTTCCTTAAAACTCTAACATGGCATTTCCCCCCAGCATACTAGGTGTGCAGCTTCCTTCAGGTACTGAGTTTGGGAGGCTTCCAGAGTGACTAGTAGGTTAAAACCTAGAGCCTGTTTGTTCCATTACTCACTCACTCCCCAGCAACTTTTTTGCCTGCTTCCAAGATCTTGGCAGTGGCAGCAGGAAAAAACAGCCACTAATTTTACATAGAAAGCAAAAACAACACAACAGTTCCATCAAATAGAGACATACTCTTTGGGGTTGCAACCATTCTTGCCATGCCAGCAAGGCATGCCACATTAACTTGCAAGTCCGATTAGGATATTGTCTAAAGGCAGTCAAAATAGTTATCACCTTGTCATTATAGCCCTTTCCTTCTCAAACTCAAGCTCTCAACTTCCACACATGGATTTGCAAAGAGTTTTGACCTAGATCCTGATGCAGAAGGGTTACAAGCATGGTGGATAATAAAAAAGGACAGAAAGTCTGAAAAACGACGGTCCTGTTGACCAACAGAATGCTATTAAAAGTACATCTCCCACTGCAAAGAGTCTCTCTGAACTCTGGAAAGAGAGAGGAAACAAAGTCCCTTTGCCCATCTTTATGATCTGCTCACCTGCCAAGCACTCTCAGAAATTGGGGCATAAATCTCACTTTGTGGTTGATTGCTGAGGCAAAAACATCTTTCTCACTGTAATCTCCTTAAACTCTTGAGAATGAAGAGACCATTCCCCTAGTCTAGCCCATGTGTGGAGTAAGGAGAAAGACTTGTGCGTTCTGGAGCATTCTCTTTGTCTTCTCAGGTTTATTATTGCACTATTAAGACTGAGTGTTCATGTGACTGAGAAGATTGTTGTAAGAGTTTTGAGTGGACATCTTACATAATTAGGAAACTGCATAGCACCCTGTCATAGCTATTTACATTTCCCCACCATTTGTGGGATTTTTTTAAAAAAATCCAGAAATGCACAAATAATGTCATAGACTCAGAGACAGAGGAAGCTGAAATGTCTCCTTAAGGGCATACCCAATCTGTGTGCCCTTTATTCAGATACACTGTGGACTGGAGGTTTCCACACACTCTACTCTCTATAACGGAATGGAATGTTTGCATTCAGTGTTCATGTTTCTTTACAAACCAAGGGACCCTTTGAGGTCCCACAAGACCTTTATTTTATGGGAATGGTCACAATGAAGACTATTGGGTAAGATCGTTCGTATCTTTGAACCAATGACACTTGCCCAAGTATTTGTGTAACTTGCAAGCTGGTTCTCACTAATCCGTAAGGTGCCAAAGCACATTTCAATTGTGCATTTAGGCATGGTGACCAGCCTCACAGCTGAGATGTGCCCTAATGACTTGCCCAGACATATCTTACATGAACATCAACAGGATTCTGGTCTTAAACTTTGAAAAGTGCTTTTCCTCTTTTCCACCGGATGACATTATCTACTTTTTATTTAGTCAGTTCCCCTCACCACATCTTTAGAAGATTAGTATTATTTAGATTATTATTAGAAGAACTGTTTAAGGAGGCCTTTGGCAACATTTTAGGTTAACTTATAAGACCCATGCATTATATTTGTAACTTTGGTCTTTGGTTATTTTTATTCTACTAATGCACATTTTATTATGTTATGTTTTGTGTAATTTGGTTTGATTTAAGTTATCTGTTGTCAATTTTAATTTTTACTTTTTTGTTTAATTTGTCATATTATGCTTTTTGTTATTTTATTAATTTAACTGATTGTATCCTCTGTTCACTTATGTAAACCACCCCCAATTAATGTTCCACTAAGTTGTGCAGTCTATAAGCTCAGTAAATAAATATCCTTGAGTTAGTTATATGCCATCAAATTTGTATTGACTCTACCAGGGCTTTCAAGATAAGTGAGATATTTAAAGAGTGATTTTACTAGTTTCTACTCCCCGGTGAGTTTCTATGGCTGAGCAAGGATTTAAACCATGGCCTCCAGAATCCTAGTATGTCGCTGTATGTACTCCATCACACTGGCTACTGCCTTTATCCTTAGTCTTCACCAAAATACTGCAAAAACTGGAACCAAAAAGCTTATTGGCAAAACGAGAAAAATGATGACAAATACAATTTGGGTTTAGCATATACACTGCATATTTAGCACATACGTATATATTCAGAACCGAAGATACCACTGTGCCTGGGCTGAAAACTGCTATTAATCTAAATAAGAATCTGCCATGAAAGCTGCATCCTTGGCCAACTTATTCATTCCCTGCATCAGATTGTTGTTGTTGTCATGGGGAATATCAGCCAGAACCAACTTAGTTCCTTTAACTGAAGCACAGGGAAATAAAAATATAGTAAGTTCCCAGAAAGCCAAGGTAGAAGCCTCATGAGTCCTTCTAAAGAAGAATGTATTATTCTGTCATTTCACTTCTTAGAAGCGTCATCCTCACCCTTAGGAAGCACTGGCCTCCAAGAAAAAAGAGTCATAGGAACATCCACTAAAGGATTATTACATTTTCCTCTTGTATTAGATGGGAAAGAGTGGAGATGCACAATACTTGGTCCAACGGATTCTGAAGAATTTAAACAAATCATGATTAGGTTTTGAACTCATCTCTAAAATGTCTGAGAAAAAAAAAGCACAGTCTGAAGCTGACCTGTCTGTAATAGCAAATACTTATTTTTAACTTTCTACAAAAAGTGGGGAAACCCTGTACAGTGTTGAAAAGAGTTGTATCTGCTGAGATTTTTGAAAGGTGAGTGAATCTACCCTGTTAGGAGGTAAATGCCTCTCTTTTTCAGAAGGCTGAGAAGACACAACACTCTTGAACAATGATTCCCCTTTGTTTGCAACACTCTTGGCAACAGGAGGCCAACTCCACTCTCCTCTATCAGAAAATGTTTCTCCTCAGTGCCTCTTTAAAGAGGTTCCTAGAATATGGATTTCCCGAATCCTTAGAAATTTGTTGTGACGCAAGGAGGAAAGCATTCTCTAGAGCAGTGGTTCCCAACCTTGGATCCCCAGATGTTCCTGGACTAAAACTCCCAGAAGCCTTCACTAGCTGTGCTGACAAGGATTTCTGGGAGTTGTGATATAAGAACATTTGGGGGCCCAAGGTTTGGAACCATTGGTATAAAAGGACATTTGCTGATGGTGCTTTAAAAAATGGTATGATGCACTTGCCTTTCTGTTTAAAGCAACATTTAGCTAACATATTTAATGAACAAGACTCAAATTCTGGAGGACAATCTACTAAATTTGAGTTTCAGAGCAAAGAGTTCCATGACATTATGCCTGTAGCTGCTTTGCCTTAAACCACTGAGTTATCTTCCTGTACTGTCAGCCCATGTCTCCTTCTCATGTCCGTATTTAGCACCCATGATCCTTTTTAAAATTTCTATAGCAATCAAGAAACTACTTGGGACAGCAGTATGAGCTCTTCCACATTCCTTATACTGTATAACAGATTTTATAATGCCCCTTATCCCTGATGCTAGAGTTACTTGCAACAACTTAAAATGATAAAATACAATGGCCAGAATCCTACTTTAATATTTTGTGTATGCAGCATCTTCATGGCACCCAGTGGCCAAAATCCTATGGTATCACTTCACATGCACAATTCAAAGTTGCATATGCAGTACTGTTGGCACATTGTGCCATCAGTCATGCCAATGATATGTGGCCAATTGTGCTATTCCACAGCACAATTCCTTCTTGCTGAGTGCAACGCCTGGCACATTTATCCCACCATAACTTTACATTACACCAGCATGAATAGAATATTAGGCAATTAATATGCTGGTAATCAAAATAATACCAGTTTCATGACAGTTGTCAAAATATGCTTTTCAGACGTTTAAGTCTCATTGTTACCAACAGGGCAGCCTCTGGCTTGCATAACTGGGAACAAGAGACAGGCTGAGAATGGCCAGCTCCATCTGCAAAGCAGTTACATTCCACTGCTGCAAATAGTGTTCTGCCCATTAAAAATATGTAATAATCAAAACTATAAAATAACATTAGACAAGCAGAACAATAAATGCCTAGAGCATGCATGCAACAATATTCATGGCAGAGACTATAGTAGAAGATGGATTTTGATGGGCAGAATTTTTCCTATTGATTCTAAAAAGTCACAGGCTGAAAAATCTAGATTGCTATGAGTAAAATGGCAAAATAGTATTTTGCTACGTATTTGAAATGTGGAGTGCCTGCTCTGTGTGTACTTCCAAAAGGTAATTTTGGAGGACTCTGGGCCCACAAGACTCACACAACCCCATTGAATGTTGGTATGTGTGGGGAAAGTACTATTCCCTACTTCTGGAAGCCTCCAGGAGCAAGTAATGGCTATAAAATGGGATGCTGGAGTCCTTTGTACCCAAACACCCCAAACAAAAATGGAAATAAGAGTTTCAGTAAGTGGACATAACATTTTCACAATTGTGGGACGTTATTCATCTCATAAAAAGTCCTGGAGAGTGGTATCAGGAGACAGGTATCTAGTTGTCTCATGTGCTCCCAGAAGCCTCTGGTGGGGCCACTGTGAGATACAGGAAGCTGGACTAGATGGGCCCTTGGCCTGATGTTCTTATGATCTTATGATTATCTCATAGCACACTGAAAAAGCTTTATACATTTCTGTGCTGTCAAAGAATAAGGAACATAGATTTATAAATTGAAAATAAATTTATCTTTGAAGCTTAACTATGATAGTATGAAAAGGAGGTAGTA